GAGGTAGCAGACACGTCACGTGTGGAGTCCTGGAGTGACAGAACTCAACACCCAGGGGAGGAGGAGAGGAGTGCCCCGGAGGCAGGACCAGCCACGGAGCTGAAGAGCACAGGACAGCTGGCTTCACATTCTCCAGCACACACCCTGTTCCACGATGCGTCAGCGGGCAGAGGGGGGCCCCACTGTGTGGGCTGCTGCGCAGGTAGCACCTTCCAGTGAAGTCTTATCTTGGGCTGATTTAGCAACCTTTACCTCAACTTCTGCTTTCACCTGCGCTGTCACAGGACAACTCGTCGGAACCACTTGCTCTCACTGCACGAGCTAAAGCTAGCTTCTTTCCCCAAAACTTGAATTAACATTTAACATCTGCTGGTCTGGCCAGGATCCAATAATTTAATATATTACTTACTGTTTTACATTCAGAGTTTTTTAAAAGTAGACTGTAATTTCAATGCTCAATTTCGAGTTACTCGGTAGAAAAATACGTTAGGTGTGCAGCTGCCTAAGTGGGCATTTAAAAAAGTCTTTTAGCATTTCAGACATATCTAGCTTGATTCATACAGGTAACTATCGATGACATCTGTGTGGTTATGGCTGAGGCTATTTAAATGGGCAGTCGCTACGATCCACACTATTGAGCCAAACATTACCTCCTACTGATTCCAGTGGAAAACATGCTCCATAGACTTTTTAGTGAAATTTTTTTTAAAAACACAAAAATAAAAACCAATCCTTCAGGTCTTCTTGAAGAATTCATATATGACACTAGAGGGTACCCACATTTAGTATGTAACAGCTAATTAGAGGAACCGTGTGTTCATGTTTCAACTTTTCCGTAAGTCCCTTCGGGAGGCCTGTAATGCTTGGGGAAAGCCTTCAGCTGCAGGGAATTAAATGCATATTTGCGACTTCCAACATTCTTCATTGTATTTTCTCTTCGACAACCCTCACTGGGGAAAAAAACAAGCACAAGAAATGACAGCAGTAAAAAAGGAAAAAGAAAAGACTTAAACTAAGATGAAATGAATTATTTTCATAGCATTAAAAAAAATGGGATTAATTCAAATGGGTGCTGAACTCATTTACAACAATATGCACGCAAGATGGCAGGCTTCTGAACGAGGAAGGCAACTAAGAAGCACAGACATGGACACATGCTGGATGGGATTGCAAGTCTGCATTTTCAGAGGCAGCGCTGTATCTAAGTAGAAGCAAACTTCTGTTTTTTAAGTGAATGGTTTTCATGTATGTCATGTCTAGTAGTCTGAGGATTCTATCATAACTAGTGGTTCAAAGGTTCTGTTACATTTCCAATTAAATGGAATAAGAAATGGTGCTACTCTTACCAAAGCTTTTCAAGAGCTGCATTTTTCTATATTAGCAATGGCTATTAATCACCTCAAATTCAAAATGCTCATTTTCCTTGCAGAATTCAGTACGTAGCAAAGCCATCTGGCTGAGAAGCCTGCGCTAACATGCCGTCCCCACTGAGGAGACAGCTGTCCTGGGTGCAAAGCAATCAGTGAGCCCATGCAATGGTGGCACGCTGGGTCTGCACAGCCATCAAGGCTAGAAGGGTCATGAAGAAGTGATCCCACTGAGATCTCCCCATGGCAGCCTTCTCTGGGTGGGCTGTCCTTACTGTGGTCACCTCTCACAGGCATGCCACTAAGCCAGTGAGAGCCCACAGGTGCCCTTCCCTAGAGAGCCTGCTCCCAGCATCATCCCCAGCTGTACTGGTAGGAGGGTTGTCATGGCAACCCAGTGGACACAGCAAATGCTGAAGAGGAGGATGTGCCATCAGGCACGCCTCACATTCCCTCATATTCCCGAGTGAGAGCATCAGGGGAGTTCTCTGGGAACTGTTCTGTTGTAGATATCAAATTCACAGGCAAAAGCGGTTCTAAATATAAACGACTTCCTGTAAGCACAGGAGAACTTTACATTTTTATATTATTCTTTGACTAGCAATTAAATCGACTAGTTATTAAATTTAGTACAAAAATCCCCATTATGAGATGTAAAATTTGGAGTTACCAAGAAAGAGTGATTTAAAAAAAATATTTCAAATCGTATGAAGACCATTATGTCATGCATTTTAAAAAAATATCAGTGGCAATTGCTCAAGCCTTTTAAAGTGAAAATGACAGTCTCATTATCAAGAACATGTAAAATATTTTTGGTAAGAGTAATTTTATTCAAAAGATAAGCTCAGATATTTTAGAAAAGTAACCACCTGCTTGTTATTAAGTAATTTAGTAACTTAGCTATGCTTTCTTGTCACCAGAGCCTCAAGCCCTCAGTGAGACCTGTGTCATCTGAGCTGAACGCCTAGGCCATATGAGCAGGACGCACCTAGAGTAAAGAACAACCATGTCTGTCTAACATCCAGCAAGCAGATAAAAATATAATTCCATTTAAAGCAGAAGCTATAGGTTCCTATGCACAGTTAGTCTTATTTCATCTTTGGAAGCTCTCACATTACCAAACTGTTTCAGATATGGCTGCTCTATTTATATAGGAATGGACACATTTTTCAAGGACCACCTATCACTAGTAAATGCCAAACTGCTTTGAGGAGCAAAGAAGAAGAATTTGTCCACTTCGACATTATCTTTTATTTACATATGTTAAAGAAGCTATTGGTTTAACTGGCTGAACATACGATACATAGATTTGTAATTAAGGTTACCCTCACAATGCAATTTAATTTTTAAAAGCAAATCAGATTCACTTTCCCTCAAATGTTCTGAATTTACAAAATCTGACGGCAGAGGCTGACGACATGCCGACACTGTCCCAACTTGCTTGCACAAGCCTGGGTACTAGCACATGAGACTGACATGTGCAGAGGGGAGAGGTGTGCCGTGCTAACTGGCCTTTCCTGCCGCAGGGGCCAGCCTTCTGTCCCTAAGGTAGAACACTTTCACCCATCACATCGGCAGCACCGTTCTTAGGGGCCAACAGCAGACACTGAAAAGGTCTTGGATAGATTTTAGAAAGAGGGATTTTACTATTTCAAAGCTCCACCATTGTTTTTTCTTCCCTAAGTAAATTCTTTCTTTTCAAGGTATCCATTTTTTGAATGAGAAATTGGAACAGAAACCCAGATGACAACTAATTTGGGGGACTCCTCTGGTTCTCCCCGTCAGGTGTGGATCTTCCACTTTAGAACTCTTCTAGATGCACTGGGGTCTAGTGATCCTGAGTACCTAGGGTTGGTGGCCAATGACAATGTCCTGCCCGGGGCCAGTATCACCTCAGAAGCAGGCCGAACACCATAACCATATACCAGACTCCCCTCTTGTGAATCATCTTCCCATGTTTGTTTCATCCAGTCTATTTTTCACTGAAGCAGAAAAGATTTTCAGATCTATATTTAGTCTGATTTCCTAAGCAGAGAGCCTCAGTGATGCTAAAACTCAGCACAAAGGGCGAGCACAATGAGTCTTTTTCCTCAGAGTTCTGAAGAAAGATGGCAACAATAATTCAGAGCCTAGGCTGATCTCCTGGTGTTCTTTCTTGTGCTAGCCTTCATGACAGGAGACAGCTAGAATGTATGGCCTTTTGGCTCAGCCCCTGAAGAGAAAAACAAAGAACCTTATCTTCTCTCCTTTCCAATTTATTTCTGTCAACCTGGCAGCCAAATCTACACAGGGCAGGAAGGTCTGGCTGGCACCACAGCAGCGAGGAACAGGCCGAGAAGGGCCTCTCTAGCTGGCTATGGCCTCCCTTTGCTGGGTGCGGGGATCCTGGGAGGAGTCTCTGGGGAGAGGCAGGGGAGCACCCAAAGGCCCAGGGAGCGGAGGGGGCGCTATCTGTAGTCAGAAGGGCCTCCCTCGTGGGTGCATAGTCTCTGCCAGGCCTGGAGATGGGCACAGGCCAGGCCATGTCACTGCCGTGAGGCATCAGGAGCACCTGAACCAGAGCAGGGACTGGGAAGATGTGGAACTGGAGCTGAAAGGGCCTGTGGACTCTACTTTCTCTCTTTCAAATCTTGGAGTGCTGACGCACACACTTTAATTTGAAGGAGGCAGGAGGTGAACATACCTCTCAAAGAATCACGGATCAGTGACTAGTGTTGTGTTGCTACAACTTAACACCACTTGTCACTTGGCATCCGGTGAGACTCCCCAGTGAGAAGTGTCAGGAATTATGCCCCAGTAAGGCCACCTCAGTTGTTCTGGAAAAGACAGAGTGGCCACATGGCACTCGTGAGAAGATTGGCTTCCCCCTATAGGTAGGAAGGCCCTGCAGTGCTTGGGGGGTCTAGGAAAGAAGGGCCTCCCCGGGGTGTGAGAAGGACAGTCTCAGGATTTAAAGCCTGAGTCTAGTATTTATCATCCGTCGCCAACCGCATCTACCATTCCTAGAACACAGACTCAGAACCGATGCCAAACCAGAGAAGTCCCAGAGTAAGTTCTGGACATCCTGGGAGAGGGAAGTGAGGGGGCAGATTTTGTGGTGGACTGGGTTTGTGTGTATGCATGGGTGTAAAGTTTCTGGAAAAGACAGCTTCTTTAAATTCACTCTAATTTTTCTAGACTGGTAAAAAGAAATCCACTTTCATATAGTCCAGTGTATGGGGAACCGGCTGACAAGTGAAAACAGAATATGGCATAGTCTGAACTAGAAAACAGAGAAGCCACGGAGCAGTTCTTATACAGAATCCATGGAATTTCTCCCTAATTTATTCTGTTACCTTTACAGACGTTGAACGACTCCTCTGCCAAATGTGAAAGTTAAGGTTACGAACCACCTTGTTTCCTGGGCATTTCCATGTTACACAAAGAGTGCTAATAGCATAAACCTAAGCAACTCCTTCTCTCTCACATTCCCATCTACCCCAAGTGGCCAAAGGTTAGGCTTCTATTTTGGAACTTTTTTTTTTTTTTTAATTACCATTATTAACCACATTTGATTTTTTTAAAATGAAACCTACTGCTTCATGAAAAATAAATGTATTTAACTTTAACAGCCTTTTGTTCTTATCTGCACTAATTCCTGTAACCAGTCTAGTGATCCTTAAAGATTTCAAAGAGTAAGTTGAAAGTCACATGCAGTATGTTACTTTAATGTGCCTGACTGGGTACAACGGGCAACTCGGTCACAGCTTTGGGGTGTCTCAAACCGGAAATTATAAACACAAGCAAGGAATGTTACGATTCTGCAAAGTGTTTGCTACTGTAAGTTCAGGGACTATGCTTTGAAATGAAAGCAGAAAGTACACGTCCTATTGAATAGGTGGATCTAGATAGGTCGGTTATAAAGCGTCTATCATTTTTGTTTCTCTTCAGAAGGAAAGGAAAGGTTAGCGGTACATTAAAGAATAGTATCAAATATACAAATTCTCTTCAGACAGAGGCCCTTCTCTCAGAAACAGGGCACAGGAAATATACAGGTAATAAACAGTTTTACATCAGAAGGTGAGAGATTTGGTACAAGTTAACTCCAGGCCGGCTAAACAGTGCAGTGACAGGGCACTGTAAGGACGTGTTACAAGCACTGAAAACTCGATGGCATTTAAACTCACGAGTCCTCTCGGTGAGATAATTTGGCAGGTATTTACAGTTCAGAACAACAAAACGTCAAACTGTAAGGCATGAAATATTTCTCGGCAGACCACGCTCTGACACATTCCTTCTGTCCAGTCAGGTACACAGGTGGCTGGACATACTCTGGCACTTTTGTTTTTCTTGTGACTTAGTACTGCTTTTCGCAATGGTACTCATTTGCAACGCAATTTGGTCACCAGGTATGCTATGCTGAGGAAGAGCCACACAATCAGTAAATTGGGGCTCAGGGCTAACAAAGGGATGGAACAAAGGAGGCTGGGGTCTAGTCTTAAGTCTCGGATGGGCACCAGGCCGCTCAAGTTCTTCTGGGTGACTACCTCCCGTGTTCCAATGCTGTGAAAAGGAAAAAGTTTGGGAGAAAGGAAAAGAAAAAGGCAAAGGAAATAAAGGGGGGGGGGAGGACACATGCAATGGATTGTATCAAAAGTATGGAAAAAAGAGGAAAACCAAACAGTAAGAGTTAAAACAAACAAAAAAAAAATGGGATGGAGCCACAAGAGAAAGAAAAGATGATGTGCAGAAAAGGGTGTGGAAGGGGTACCAAAACAAAACCAGCACAGTCACAAGAAGAAAGGAGAGAAAGAGAAGTGAAAATAAGAAAAAATACTGTTGTCTACCGAAAACAAACACATGTAGGTTGACTAAATGGTTTTCCATGTTCGCGCTCTCTCGGCTGGCCAAGCACAACTCCATGCTGCCCTGCCATGCTCTCACATGCTGCCAAGACATGGGTTTCAAGAAGCAAAAGCTGAACATGAAGAACCATTGGGAGGGGTGGTTTGACCTTCTCACAGATGCCTGAGCGGGGGTGGGGGGTGGGGGAGTGGGGAGGTGTGAACGACTTTGCCAAAGCTGCCTCTTGATGAACCATTCAAACAACGACCATTTACCTCAAGTACCAGTCTGAGCCCTCCCCAGGCTCGCCCTGGCGGTTAGGCTGAGCAGTGGCTGAGCATGAGCGGCCCGTGTCCCCGAAAGTTCAAGTCACTGTTCTACAGGCTGATCCCCAACCACAGAAGCCAACCAAGCTCACATCAGAAATCTGAGCGTTTCCCCCTTTTGGTGCCCCAGAAAAATATACACTGAGGTGCAATATATGTATACATATATACATATATATAAAATATATACTCTGGAGCCATAGCCTCTACGAACGTCCACCAAAGTGGTGACACTGCCACAGACGCAGCAGGGATGCCAGGACGCCGCATGTGACCTCTGAGGGTCCACCCAGAGAGGAGTGGCTTGAGGTCCTTGCTCAAGCAGACTTCTCCTGTGCTTTCCCAGAGGAGCTCGGAAGCCCTGGAATGGCCCTGCCGTGATGTGCCGTTCAGACTGGGGACACTTTCCCAGCCAGGGCAGTCTCAGGGGGCAGAGGTGGTGTCACTGTGGCTACTTAGGAAGACCCACTCTGTGAGCGTTTCAGTCCCTGGGTCGGGGACAGAGAGGCAGCACGAGCGGTGAGCTGGCATTGGCTGTGATGGCTTGCAGGAGCCGGGTGTATGCATCCTTCCCCAGCTCCATGTTCTGTGACATCACACCGGTAGCTGGAAATAAGCCCCAGTGGGAGTATTTACGCGAACACTATAGATCAGGGCTGTTTTTGGCTGTGGTGGAGGCGGGGAGCTGGTTGTTAAGCACTTCCTGGCACAGCCCTGGCCACTGCTCATCCTGGGCCTCCGGGAGAAACAAGGCCAGAGTGTCAGCTTTGCCCCTACCCCACCCCCTCCCCCCCTGCACCCTTGCCTGCATGCTCTACTCTTCCATCTGGTAAGACGCAAGCGAGAAAGCAAGAGAACCAAAATGCATTCTTCCGCTCAAGGCATGGCCCAGTATTTTCTGCTGCCGCCTTAGGGCTCCCGGCTGAGCCACAGGTCCTGGCCACGCTACAGCCAGAAATCCTGGCTAGTGACCCAGCCACCTCAGGCTTGCTGTCTATAGACAAATGCATGTCTCCCCCCCACAGGGAAGAGTTCGGAAAATCACCTTAAAACAACCACATGCGTGACAGCCTGAACTGCAACGCGGTCAGGCTCAAAGGCGGCAGCGAGCACAGAGCCCCGGCTGCTGGAACTACTGGGTTCCGGGAGCAGGTGCAGGGGGCCGTGATCGAGCTTGGTTCTTGTGTCGTAATATCCGACATGATTAGTTAAATAAGATTACATGTTTATTGCAGAAATTTTAGAAAAATCAGAAAAACAAACAGGACACTTTAAAAAGACTTCCATTAAATGGAGATGGAGGGGGGAGGTTTAGAGAGGCCGAGGGAGGCCCAGGGAGGAAGGTCGTGCCCTAGGCAAGACTGTGGGGTCCTCACCTGTGACCCAGGAAAGCAACACTGACTTTACAGACTTGGAAGCGCACCGATGAGTGACAGGCACGACAGTACCCGGAGGGTGGACAAGCAGGCACTTGGGACAGGGGGTGAGAGTGTGATGATTTGTATTAGAAACCCTACAAAGGCCAGGAGCATACACAGGGACACCCCACCCCCTGTCTGAGGTGCAGAAAACCACCTTCAGCTTAGACAGTCAACGGCAGCAAACTGAATCACTACGGTGTGCTCAAAATCATAAGGTCTCTACTTATTAACCTGAAAAAATGCTCCCAAGAAAGCTAAGTGAAAAAAGTAGGCTCAAACAACAGGCATAACTGCACACAGAGCTGCGTCTGTTCACGCACGGGTGTGCTGTGTGAGTGATTCAGGGCCTGGCAATCTGGCATGTGTGTTAACTGCACTCACGCCCATGTGCTTGTATGTACGTATCTACGGCTGAAAGAGGAGGCATCAACACGAGCACGGCTGCTTGTCAACAGAAGGAAGATGGAGGATTCTGAGGTGGGGGTATGAGAAAAAATGGTATAGGGGCTTATTCATATTTTAAAATTTTGCTATAAGGAGTATCAGTTTCTTAGGTGAGCAAGTGTGGAGTGTGTTGAAAGCCACAGCAGCTAATCTGTGCATGTGTGGGTACTGCCCACACAGCCCTGAGACAGGCCACAGGCCGGTAGATGCCGCTGCCCCGGTGTCTTTCTAAGGAGCCCTGTTCTCCCAGGTCTCCTGAGACCTCTGTGCTCGGATGCAGGCAGAATGAATTGTTTGTCTCAATCGCATTAGTTCCAGAAGCCAGGACGGGACAACTGTCTACACATGGACTGTACACCTGACTCAGGGCCTGGTCTGAGTGTACCTTATCCTAATCTTCGCTCCAACAACCACAGGTATCTCCGCCTCCTTCTACTTTTCGTGTTTCTTCTCTAACGGAGGCCTGCGTCTCACCAAGGTGGCCCCTCGTAGCACCTCGCAGCTCACAGGGTACAGACGTGCATGCCTGGAAGCCCAGGCCCTGCCTCCCTCATGGCATCAGGGACACTGAGCCTGAAGGACAGGCTGTGAGGACAGGTTGACTAAGGATGCCTGGGCAGGTGTCTAGAGAGTCTCCATTGCCTCCCTGAGGCCCAGCCCAGGGAGGGTGGAGAACTCTCCATCCGTGCGTGAATCAAAGCCCCAGGGTCACAGATAGGGGTTTGGATGAATGTGGAAAAGACAGAACAGGGACAACATACTTCCATTCCTACAAAATGCTATTATCAAGAGGCAGGAGCTCAGGCATCACTTTTGTGGGTCATTGTGAGAAGGTCAAACGGCAGAAACATACAGAAAGGATAAGAGAATCAAACGCTTTAAAGAATTTGGTGAGAGGACAAATGATACAGAACATTCAGTAGGAGTGACCGTCGGAAACGAGACTTTGACAGCATTGGTGGCTACATTGAAGGAGACGGGAAAACCAGGTTTCTTATCCTTTCTTTTGGTATGTGAGGTAAGCTGCTCCCCAGCAACGCTTGAAACAAGGCATCGGTCAACAGTAGACAGTTTTTAGTCCCGGGTTTCATTCTGCAAACACGCCTGCTGCCTCAGAATCAGAACATCATTAGGGTGAGGTCGCCACGGCACACGGACAGGTGGGGGGCTGCTGCTGTTACTATAAGACACTCATTTGACACTTTGCTAAGAAAAGCAAACTGTGTCGACGGCTAGAGAAGAAGCGGAGCAAACCGGTGCAACCTGCAGATGCGCTTTCTTCGCTCAAGTTTGCGAGGAGCTAATGCGCATGTTGGAAACAGCAGGTGCCTGCTGAGGAAGGCCTGGCCCTCGCTCCCACTGGCAGCAAGGAAGGGGGCTGAGGGCCAGCCTCATGCCCAAGGACTCGCAGGCGGCCACACTGGATTTCCCTGGGCCACGCCCTGACTCCTAAGCTTGCCCTGAGGGCACCTGCTTTCAGAGCAGCCCTGCTCATTAGAGACTGCTGGCTCTCCTGTCCCCCAGACTTAAAAGAGAACACGGTCTCAATTTGAGACCGCCGACAGTTTGACTTGGCAGACGTCAGAGAATTTTCCAAAGTCAAACCACAGCGTGCCGCTGGGAGTCAAGGGGCCCAGGGCCGGGGGCGCCCAGCGGGACCGGCTCATCTGCAGTTTACACGGAGCCCGGGGCAGGCGGGATGGGCGGCCTGGGCAGCGGGACTCACCTGCGCATGCACTCCAGGGCCTGGGTGAACACCTGTGGGGCCATGCCGTGCTCATGCTGCAGGATCAGGCACTGCTCCAGCGTCACTGACATGGCCGTGCGGTCCTTGGCGCTCTTGCAGCTGGTGAACCGGACCCCGTTAAGGCGGCGGCAGACCTGCAACAGGAACGCAGGCTGTGCTTGGAGGGACAGATGCCACAGAATGGAAAGATGCGTTGCACGGGACACGGGCTCTGGACAGTCAGTGGTGGCACGTGGCCAGGCGAACTCCCAGAGCCAGCGTTCCCATCACTTCTGCTCCCTGACTTCACGTCCGGCCAGAACCAGCATCAGAAATGAGGTCACTGCCTGTGGGACCCCCTCTGTCCCCAGTGACTTTGTCCCCCTCCCTCATGTGACTCCCCCCAGAGACTGTTCCTTCCAGGCCTAGCCTCCCCCTTCTTTTTTGGGGCATCACCATCTGTGCGCTGACTGTACCAGCTGCCCTCTTCCAGACCGTGCCCAGGCCATCTCATCACGGTCAGACCTATGCTGCAGGCCCTGGGCAGAGGAGGGCAGCAAAGCCCAGCTATGGAGGTCAGAGCAGCTCCCAGCATGCCCCATCCCTGGCCGAGTCTCCAGGCCTTTCTGGAAGGCGTAGCACAGACCTGCTGTCTCTGCTCTCCTCTGCATCTGCACAGATGGGAATACCTCAGAAGAGCTTCCCCTCAGCCACCTCTTGATGGTCAGGCCCCACAGGCCCTCTACCATCCTCTACCTCACTCAGGGCTGGGCAGGGGTCAGTGCACTCTCCCCTTCACAAGTGGGGAGCTCAGAGTGTGGCGGCCTCCAGGCTGAGGAAAAGCCACGCAGGGCACCTTCTGTCCCCACAGGAAGGACATTTGGGGCATTTTCTTTGTACCACTAGATATAATTCTAGGTACACAGTCTCCAAGAGGAGAAAGCCCTAAAATAAAAGATTTTTAAGTTTACAGCAGCTTCATTTGGCAGTCCAACCAGATAGGAGTTGAAGTGAGGCTACTCATGATCTTCATTTATCCCATTCTGTATAAACATTCATATTTTTTAATAAGGCGATATTAATGAGTTTGGTTCCAGAGCGCTGCCCGGGACTCCCCTGGGGATCGTCACTCGTATGTGGGTATCACATCAAAGAGGTGATGTGCACAGTGTTACACATATGTGCACCAACTGTATACCAAATCACCTTTCTAAAATATGGAAATCTGTGAGTTCCAAAACATCTACCCACAGGGCTTCAGATGAGGGATTATGGACCTGGACCAGGTACCACACCTTGAGAACAATACTGGTATTTTGTGAAAAATCAAAACTAGATGACAGTGAGCTCCAGTAGCCTGTCGCACTCCAAAGAAATATCTGATCCACTGCAGTGCCCTGGAGGTGGTCCCACGCCTGCTTCCCAGGCCAGCAAAGCCAAGAACATGCAGCCACTGCCAGGAATACCACTAGATAGGTAGAGGGCACAGTACAGTCCTAAGCACGATGTCTAGAGAAAGATGAAAGAGAAAAGGCCCAAACAAGTTCAGCCAAGACCATCAGAAGAAGACAGGCTTCTTTTGAGAACAGACAAAAAAATTTTAAAAGGAAAGAAAAAAAAGAAAGACACTAAGCAAACCCCTAAGCTTGGTGATGAGCGATACAATCCAAATGATGGGAGGCTGAATGTGCACCTGCTCACCGAATTCTCCAAGCAGCAGAGTTCATGACCCAGACACATGGCACAAACTAGAACCACAGATAGGTTCAAAGGACATCCACATGTACAGATGGTATATCCAGAACTAACATGAGACTCCAGAAGGCAGGCAGGGGTGACCAGAGGTGCATTCCTGCATGAGGGGGCCATCTGTGTGCCAGGCTCAGGCCTCCAGCCTCCAGGAGGCCAGGAGCCAGCTCTGGAGCTCTGGCCAGTCTCCCCATCCACGAAATGAGGGCCTAGACCTCACCAACGATATCCTAACTGTTTAGCCAGGAACCCATTCTTTATACACAGAAATGAAAAGAAGTAAATCCAGAAAAGGAGGGCAGCTCTGGTCAAACTGGGGTTGGGAGGCCTTGAGAGGTGCAAAGAGGGGGATGTTCAAAGACAGGGTTCCATGAAGACAGGCCCTCAAATACAGGGTCTCCGGAACAGCAGCCAAGCACCATGACCAGCTAGCTCACTGCTGCAGTGGAAGAGACATGAGGTGGAGAGGAACACCTTCTTGATGAGGAGAACAGGAAAGCTCTAGAATGAGTAGCCCAGGAAAGCCATGAGGGGGGGAGTGGGAAGACAGCCCTCCTAACGGCTTCTTAGGCTCTGTGAACTGGGGGGAACCAGGCGTGAATGGGCTGTGTGGTATGTCCGCCTCCTCCAGGGGCAGAGCGGACATCCATCCCTCCCCTGTGCTCAGGCCGGGCCAGGAGCTGGAATGCCATCTGGGGATCACTCGTGCTCCTGAGCCTATGTGTGCGAGTCCCCACACTGGACAGGTCACGGTGCTGCCATGGAGACTGGTTAAGGTCACCCCTCGACAGAGGTGAATGAATGGCTAGCTCTGGAACTCCACAAGAACATTTATGAGAAAATACTGGAAGTACTTGGGAAAAGAGGAGATTTGAGCTACAATGTAAAAAAAAAAAAAAAAAAAATACTGTGTAAAGAGACTGCAAGGGTCCCCATGGTCTATCTCTGAAGCTATTAAAAGATGCAGGGGTGCCTGGGTGGCTCAGTAGGTTAAAGCCTCTGCCTTCGGCTCAGGTCATGATCCCAGAGTCCTGGGATCGAGCTCCGTATCGGGCTCTCTGCTCAGCAGGGAGCCTGCTTCCTCCTCTCTCTCTGCCTGCCTCTCTGCCTCCTTGTGATCTCTGTCTGTCAAATAAATAAGTTAAAAAAAAAAAAAAAGATGCAGAAGGCAGTGCGTTGTAGCTGGTATCGATTGCCCAGGCTTCTAGAGGTGACAACTGTCATCAGCCTGCTTATTAAATGCCCCAGGGGATAGGGTCTGTGTCTAGCTCACTGGAATTCAGGCAGCCCTAAAGTAATGAACTCATAGGCACCTTTCAGTATCCTCCAGAGTTCTCGACATATTCCGTGACTTTCTTCTGTGTCCACAGGGAGAAATTTGCTCTCTCCACTACTGGCTGAGATTCCGATTTATTATCATAATTACGATTATTGGCAGCAAGTACCACAATCCCATTCTTTTCCTCAGTATAACGAGGGTACTACCTCAGCGGCTTGCCAGAGAATGTCGACGTTCTTATTCTTCCTGGCATGTACGTTCTGGCCCAGAAAACGCAGCAGCTCTGGCAGGCATGTCTGGCTCCGAGATCGAGGTAGGCCTGCAAGACAGGAGGAGTCTGTAAGAGCTGGCGGGGTACCCAGGCCCGCAGCCCACAGAGGTCGCTGTGGCACAGGCACCTGACCAAGCTGGAAGCTTTGGTGACTTATGCAAGAAGAGGGTGTGCTTAGGGACCGGTCCTGGCTACCCACACGGGAAACACTTAAATCACTTTCGTGGCCACTTCAGTCCCACCTGCCAAGGGCAAACTCATCTTCTTTCAGCTCTCCCAAGGGGTCGAAGCACATATAGACGGTCACAAGGGCGGGAGGAAGTTAGGAAGACCCATCTGGTCTTCAGAGCCTCCGCAGGCAGGAGGATGCTTAGGGCGATGGGTCTTGACTACAGAATGGGCTTGGCCACCCCTAGGGGTGGCAGTAGGGCCTCCTCCCGTGGACCTGAAGTGACCCATTCTCTCGGAGAGCCTCCCTCTGCCACCGCGACAGTCTCCAGCCCTTCAGGGACCCCATGAACTAGAAGATCAGTCTGATCACTTAACCTAAGAAACCTGGGATTTTCAAACCCCAGGATCATCAGAAAGAAAGAGAAAAATCTCCAGGTCATGTTTAAGAAAAGAAGCTATGGTGCCCAAATCCCCAAATTAAAACCGAACACAGGGAGTTCTGGGATCCAGCTGCACAGAGAGCTTCCAACACAAGCTCACCGTTGTGTACCCAGGATCTTATGCTAATTACTGCATGCACATGATATGAGTCTGGCACTGTGCTGATCAGGGGACTGGGCCAGAAACAGACGTGGAAAGGGGGGCTCTCCTCACGAGGGGCTCACTCTGTGAAAGAAGCTGTGGGAGCCTGGAGGAGGCCTGCGTGTCTCCTGGAGGAGATATGGCATGTTACTTCCCCAGATCGGCTGCAGCTTCTCCCTTGCTGCCCCTACAGCCCCAGTCAGTGCACACCTGCCCACTGATGAACCGAGCAGACTCTGGGGGTATCATTAGCTGCGCCCCATTTCTTCGGCCTCACAGAGCCCTGATTCTCCTCGGGCTGAAGGTGCAATGGGCTGCTGCTCCCCCGGCTTCCTAGGTTGTGATCCAGTGGTACTGGTCCAACCTGGAGAGGCCCACGCCTGGCCTGCTTTTGTCCTATGGGCCGCACCCTTCTGTGCCCTTTGTCACCAGCCAGATCTCCTGGTGTCTCACATCACTGGAAAGAGGCTGCCCTCCAAGACACTGAGCACAGAACTCCCACTTTCTGACCACATGTCTCACTATGCCCACTCATCTGTCCTCCACATGGCCTCTGTCCCTCCTCCCTGCTCCCCCTCGTGGTGCCCTGGCCAGGGGTCCAGCCCTGCAGAAGACTCTAAACCTCCAGTCTGAGCTTGGGCACTCCACTGTCCCTGACCCCTGCAGCACTTGGAAGGTGGGTGCTGGTGGCAGTCAGCCTGGGCTCCTTCCCTCGGGGACTCGCCCTCCTGCCTCTGTGTCCTCAAATGTCAAATGGTGTGAAACCAGGCCCACCACCCCCCCAAGGCTGCTGTGAGGATCACATTAGATAATCCAGGTCAAGTATGTAGACAGCTTAGCACATGCAAGGATTTGACAAATCTGTCACTTTCAACTATGCTCACTGCTAAAGCATGTGAGGACACCTCAATACCTGGGGAGTTCCCAAGAGCCCGGGTATTGGTGACCTGCAGCTGAAGTGTCAGGGAACCCTTTCACTTATGGCTTTCAACCCTCGCCACCTGGGGAGTTTCTGGAACTCCCTATGCCCACCACTCTGGGGTGGGGCCCAGGCAGAACGGCGCAGGCTCCCCAGAGAGTTCCAGTGTGTGGTCAGCACCGGCACCTCTGCGGTTCCCTGGGCAGACTGAGGCCACCTGCCGGGAGCATCCTCTGTGTCCCCCTCTCCACAGCGCCCCTGGTCTGTAGTCCTCAGCTGCTCCTGCATCTCACAGTTAGGGTTCCTCTAGCTCCTTCCCCCCGCTGCCCATCCTCCGATCTCACGTCTCTGCTGATTTCTGGGACAGACTGGCCCATCGAGGCAGTGTCATTTTGTCGCTTACTTGTGCTGGCTGCAGCCCTCGCCACACTGACTATGCCTCAGAAGTCACCAAGGACTCCTTCCCTCACTCCCGCTAGGCACCCAGGTAACACTACTGCTCTATTGCCTGCAAGGACTCTCTCCCACATGTCTGCTGAGCCCTTTCTTCTCAAGCCACCTCCACACAGTGCTCTTCCCCAAAGACCCTGTCCTCAGCCCCATCCCCTCGCACACAGTGATCTCAGCCATAAGACAGCCCCATGTCACCTGTGCCGCTGACCACGGTAGCGACACATGTGCCCCACCCAGCCTCACCTGTGGCCCATATCACAAGGCCATTGGTGCCTGGGCTGCTCTCCTCACCCTCCAGCCCTGCCCCCCTGCCCATCAGCAGGCTGCCCGCTCATGTGGCCGTGACCAGCACAGGCCCTGTGTCCCTCCACCATCTGCCTACAGCTCTCTCGTCCCCAGCACTGTCTCATGCAACTGCGAGGCCGCATGCTCCCAGAGCAACTCCCCCTCATGCCTATCCTGTCTACCCATACTCCCAGGTCAAACTCGAAGGGAGAAGAAGGCGCTGTGCACAGCAGCCTGCACCCCTCCTCCAAGCTAAACAGCATACTCTTGCTGATTCCAGATGAATCCCTGAAGGCTTTCCCCACACGGCTTCCCTGCTAGAACTAAACTAACATCAACTCCCCAGCCCGGCCCAAGGTGCCCTGCAACACAGCGTCTCCTAATAGGGACACCTCTGTCAACTGTCTAAGTCCCGAGCCTCAGAGCCAGGCCAACCCTTCCATGCAACCAATACTGACACCTGTGTCGTGGCACTGTCGTGGTGAGTCAGGGCAGAAATGTGCACAGAACATGGCAGGGCACCAGGCACATCAGTGACCGGGGAATGCGAATGTAGCCTTTTCCCATCTTCCCCCTCAGGAATCCCCCTTGAAGGACACTGGTGTTACCGAGGGACCGAGTCTGCCTCCTTTGCTCATGGCTAGGGCAGTGCCAGCACAGAGAGGTGGAGCCCATTCCTAACCAGGCAGGGTCTAGTTTCACTCTTCACTGGGTCCCATGGTGCTTTACCTGGGGCAGGTGCTCAGTAAGTATGAAATCAGGAGAGACTTCCCCATGTACAGATAGTATGGTGAGCCCAACACCCCTGCCTGAGTCCCGGGGCTCAGAGAAGGCTGTTAGCAGAGTGATGGCTGCTGTCACTCTCTCCTGCCTCTGGGGACACCCACACAGCATTAAGTGTCTGCCCAGCATCTCACTTGACATGCCAAAGAAGTAGGTGCATGGGGAGCTCACCCCAGCGTGCAGCCGGGTGGGGCCTTGCCTCTCTGATCCCACCTGTCCCACAACAGGAGCACAACATAGGCCACAGTCATTAGTGAACACCAGTGTCTGGGACAGCTTGTGGGAAAGCCCCGCCATATCCAGGTGGCAAGACAACCAACCAGAGAAGAATCAGCAAGGGCGACAGCCTGAGGGAACCGTCTCTGGTTGGGGCCTCAAACCAGGCAGAGTCCAAGCAGGTGAATAGGCTGCTGGGGGGCGGGGGGGAGGGGGGGGGGCAGGAAGGGCAGGGAAGCAAAGCTGTAATCATGCATGTGGGGGGAGCATCTGGATGGGTGAGCAGACAGCCTGAGTGGCAGGAAAGGCTCTGACACCCAAAGTGACAAAAGACAGATGACAGGTGAAAAAGAAACCTACCGAGAGTAGAGAAATACTTACAATCCTCAGGCAAAACTTCCTTAAACTGCTCAAAGTAGGAGTTTAACCGCACCAAACTTTCCACATTGATAACTTCTTGTAAAGACGTATCTCCAAACCTTTGGAGGTCAGATGGGGACACCATAAGTTAATGGTCTTCCTTCCCACATGGGCTTAACTGCACTGAAGCTAATGGTGTTGAGTCTCTCGAGTGTCAGCACCCAGCTAAACTCTAAGTCACATCCCTCCTCCCAAGCATCAGGCCATTGCTACCTGGTAGGTGACTTGTTCAAATCCATTTCATTAGTGGGAACCATGCACATTTGTTAGGGTTGTGCCTCAAAGCTGACTGAAACTCCACCGTCCCAGGCCCTCGTGTGGCATGCGTAGAAAGCCCTCTCACGGCTGCTCACAGAGAGGCCCTGTGTCCTCCCATTCTGGAGCTGCTTACGAGAGGGGACAGCAATGGGGCTTTGGCTGGGGGTGAGGACCCAGTCTTGTACTCAAAGCGGAAGTCACTGTGTCAGCTGAACAACCACACGTGACTAGCTGATCCTCCCGGGCCATGTGTGAGGCCCTAGCATGCTTCTTGCCACACAGGCTCACCCTGTGCGCACCTCCAGGTAGCCAGGATAGGCCGGAGGTGGGCATGCAAGGTGGTCATTAGGCCTGGATGCCTAGTCCAGCTCCACTACTGCCCCACTGAGCAACCTCCAAGCACATTAGCCTCTTTGTGGTTCCACATCATCCTTCAGCAGGCAAGACTCCCTCCTGCAGGTCCATTACAGCCCCATCCACCCCGATACCTGCAATGGCTTTTCCCCTAGGCACCTGCTCCCTCAGGGCCTGTCCTGGGACACAGTGAGCTGGTTTAGGTATGAGCTGAGGGGACAATACCCCAAAAGCAGATGAATGAGCAAAGACCCGGCACTTGCCAAGTCTTCCCCGTAGCCTACTGTCTGTCTTACCCTCCTCCACCTGCCCCTCTGCTTACTGCAACGTGGTCTTGCCTCCGCCCTTTCCAGAAACTGCTCCTGCAGTCACCAGGAACAGCAGCTGCCGGACGCAGGGAGCATCAGTGCCCTCGCTGGGACAATCCCTGCCAGCGTCCTGATGCTGTCCACTCTCCATGATGTGGGCTCCTCCAGCTCTGCTCTTGCCTTAGTGGTCTCTGCTTCCTGGGCTGGAGGCACCAGCCTAAGCCAGCCTCCATCTGTCCCTGAACATGACTCTTCTCCTGGTTCTTGGGCTTAGTGGGTGCCAACACACACTCTCTACCGCCCTGAAGGCCTATGTCTATTATCCTCTTCACCATCTCTATCCCACCCTGCCCAGCAGAAGACCAAACCTTCCATTTCACTACTGAAACAGTCCTTCAGTCTGTCCCTTCTCCATCTGTACTACCCCTGCCTGATCCAGCTCACCGCCTCTGGTCTGGACCCTTTCCAACAACCTCATCATACTTGTCCGCCTCAAAGCTTTTTGGCATGTGACCAGCAAGTGATCCACTTAAACTGTAGATGTGACTGTATCCTGCCCTACTCAAACCTCTTCGATGTCTCCCACCAGCCCTACCACATCGCTAAGTGGGGGTGACCCTATACTCCGCAATCAACTGACATATTTAATGGTACTTGCTGTGAAGGGAATTTGGTCTCTAGGGTGATGTGCTCTCTTCCTTTTGGGCCTCTGGAACCCAGCGGTCAGTATCAGTTGACTCCGGAGTATATGTATTGACCACTGGGTTCCAGAGGTCCAAAAGAAAGAGAGCACATCACCCTAGAGACCAAATTCCCTTCACAGCAAGTACCGTTAAATACCTTTTTATGCTAAAACGCATATGCCGCATGAATATAATGATGACAGGAAAGGTTTTCACATACTAGTGGAAGGTCATTACACATGCCCAAACCTTCCTCCTCTCCAACACACACACATGCACACACACGCCTGTGAACACGGGCACATGTGACTCCTCTCTACTGTCCGGCAGGGAACCTGGAGGGAGTTTATAAGACACAGGCTTTTGGAAAATCAAGGCAAGCCTCTCACCTGGCATATAGGCCCCTCAATCTCACCACTGCCCATCCCAGCCTGGGGCCTTGGCCTCCAGGCCCACACGGTTTCTCCGCACCTGCCTTTGCTCAGGCTTTTTGGCCTGAGATGCTAAGTCTTTCCTCCACCTCCTCATCTAACTCCTACTTACTCTTCAAAACTCAATTTAGCCATCATCTCTTCCGGGAAGCCCTCCCAGACCTCTTCCTGGGTCTCCCATCAGGATCCCCACTCCCTGCATTCATCTTCATCCTTGTGACCCCATCTCTCTCCTACCTGCCCTATATAGACCTCTCCTATACAGACCACATCTGACCCATCTTTGTGTTCCCAGAACCATACACACGGCTGGGTGTATGGCGGCCTTTCAAGAATGCCGGCTGAAAGAAGGGGGGCCGGCAGAGACTCTGCAGCACTCAGAGCCTGAAGAGGCCATTTTCTACCTCACGTCAGTGACCACTCCACCCACCCCAGGCCCTGTGAGAGCCGGGCCCGCACCTCTCAGCCAGCGTCTGCTGCTCGTTGATCCCCACATTGAAGAGGACAGGTTGCACCCGCAGCAGCATGCCGCTCTGGATCTCCCGAGGCAGGGCGTCGAACAGCGGGCCCGGCAGAGGGATCCGCACGTTAAAGCCATCCCTGCAAAACAGGAAGACAGGCAGAGGGCGGGTGAGGGCTGTGACGGGGGAGAGGCAGGAGCAGAGGCGAGGGAGAAGAGGAAAACGGAGCTGGCCTCGACATGAGTGCCTATTGGGCTGTCTGGCTCAGTTGCTTCCCAAGAGCTGGTCGTGAGCCTTTAAAGGTCTGCAAAATTAATGTAGGAGACTATGATCCATGTCTTTAACTGAATGAGACACAACAAAACAAAAACGAAAAGCACGTCACATGGAAAGAACATAAATTAAAACAGTGCTGGTTCTGAGGATTAGAAAAAATCTTTCTACCGATTTCCCGTGATGACAGGCAGCATGTCAGTCGATGCATTAGAAGTGGCCTGAGTGACTTTGAAGGTCACGTTCCTCAGGTCCATGATTCCAAGGCTCATGTCCTCCAGCATGGCCAGCTCCTCACCTGGATGCAAGAGAGGGACACAAGGCTGTCAGGGAGAGGGGACCTGCCACTCTTCCCATGGGCTCAGCATGACCACAGAGCTGGTTACAGATGGCAGGTGACAGGATCAGGTGTGGCTGTGACCAGAGGGGGCCTCTCCACCAGCAGACTCACTTCTCCATGGGAAGTGCTGCTACTGAAACCCCATGGCCACGCTCATCAATGCCACTGGTGGAGACATGCACCACGTTCCTGACCCTCTCCTGGGGCCGGACAGTGTGGGTTGGCAAACCACATGCACAGAAGCTCAGGAGGCAGAGCTGGCACTTTGGAAGTGGACAGACAGCCACAGAGCACCATGTAGCCAGATCCTTCTACTCTGTGGGGCTTGGCACTTATTTGATGTCTTGTAACTCCAAAGATGGACAAATACTTCTAAAAAAAATTACCTATTTTTACCCTCTCAGAAGAAATAAACAGAAAATGAAAGTAGAAAGAATAGAGTCTTTTTTTGAGGTCAATTTGAAAATATCTATTTTTAAATTTTAAAATATTCCTACCCTTTGACCCAGAACCATCCCTTCTAACAAGGTAGTGGCTGCAGAAATGGGCTCACAAGCCACCAACACTCGCGGACCAAGACATATGGCAGTAGTGTTTTCTTAAGATTAATTCAGAAACAGGGCGCCTGGGTGGCTCAGTGGGTTAAGCCGCTGCCTTCGGCTCAGGTCATGATCTCAGGGTCCTGGGATCGAGTCCCGCGTCGGGCTCTCTGCTCCGCAGGGAGCCTGCTTCCCTCTCTCTCTCTCTCTGCCTGCCTCTCCGTCTACTTGTGATCTCTCTCTGTCAAATAAGTAAATAAAGATCTTTAAAAAAGATTAATTCAGAAACAGCCCACGTGCCTCACCAGAAATTACCACTTAAATAATTATCATCCCTCCTCAATTAGAAAGATTTTTGATTGTAACAACCACCACCAAGAAAACAAACGAAGCGGTGTGTGTGTAACTATGCAGGACTTTTGCTTGGTCCTGACATACAGTGATGATGTCTGGCTTTATTTTAATCAGCATGAGCTGTGTGCGTCATCAGAAAAACATTCAGGAAGGAAGAATGGGCCTCACGCACGTCCGAGTTGCTCCCGGACGCCGGGATCCCGGGGGCGCCCCTGGGGGCTCACCGTAGGTGCTAAGCAGGCTCTCGAACTGGGCCAGCAGCCCGATGGTGTAGAGCTGCCGCAGGAAGCCGTCGTCATGCAGGCAGTTCCTCAGCTTGATGATGAAGCCGCAGATGAGAGCAGTCAGCTGTGGGGGAGACACGAGGCGGGACTGTTGTCGGGGGGCAGACACCGCCTCACGAAGTGGTCCCCAGCCTGTGCCGTGCCCTTGGCCCTGAGCTTCTCTGCTTCTGCTGCTCTGGCTGGGCTGCAGCAGCATCCTTTCCCCCTCCTCCGTCTGGGGTGTGGGGTGTGCTCGGCTCTGAGGCCATGCAGGGCACAGCCACGGGAGGCTGCGCAGCACTCTTTACTTGCTGCTCCTGTTGCTCCCAAAGGCCAGTTTGGTTTTGGCTCAGCTTCCAAGCCAACTTGCCTGGGCTTACTCCTGGGCTAGAACCTTCTAGAAGCCCAGAATTCATTCCTCACAGTGAATAGGGCTTATATACTCACAGATCCAGACCAGCTCTGGCTGGAAACTGAAGAGACCACAACAAAGAACAGAAGTGCGAGAGAACACGGTCACCCTGCAAGTTACCGCAGGGGGAGATTTTCTGAGGGGATGGGCCGCCAGAACCTCAGAGAGCCAACCTGACCCTCTGTCACTGTTCACATTGCTAATGGGATAACTGGCACTTGCTAAACTTGTGACATTCACTTAAGTTCTTCCATTCTCCCAAATCACTACAATAGCTGTGCACAAGCAGCAGAACTAAGGCACAGACCGCACTGACAGCAACATCCCTCTCTCCCTCACTAAACTCCTTCCTGGAAAGAAAGGTGGCCATGAGGCCTGGGCCGGCCGGAACCCCACACGCCTCCGGCAGGAGCAGAGCATGCGCACAAGCCACCAGTGCCCGCCGCCTCCTCAGGGAGAAGCGTGGACTCAGGCCTTCTCTTAAACATATACTTCTCAAGTAGGATTGCTCCCTCCGGGTTGAAATCTAGACCTATTAAAGAAACTTAAGAACCACAGGCTGGAGAAAGTGTTGGCCATCCTTGGTTTTTTTCAACATGAAGTGAGAAGGATCTCCCAAGACTATTTTCTGAGGGCCAAGGAGCCCGCGGGCTCTTGCCCACCACTCCCGGGGCTTACCGTCTGGCAGAAGACCACATCACGGCGGTACTGCAGACTCAGGTACGTGGCTATGGTGGGGGCGCTGTCCTGCATAAGCAGGAACACCATCGCCTTCTTGGCCTTGTCGCTCATCATGGCCACGCAGTCTGTGAGGGTGGTCAGCAGGGGGTAAAGAGCCTCGCTCCATTCTCCTAGGCACCAGAAGGAGTCGTTTGAGAAGGAAGACCGTTAAGAGTCAGGTTCTAGAAGTTCAGCAAGTTATGTGCCCCGAATGCCCCGTGCCCCCTGCCTTCCCCCTCCCTACCCCCTCTGCATCTCCTAACTCTGCTTGGCTCAAGCTCTGGCCCAGGACTGGCACCGAGTTCTGCCTGGAACCACCCTGGTCTCCAACATTCTGGCTTGAAGCTTTTCCAGTAAATAAGCAACAGACCTCCTAGGGACCACTGAGGTAGGCCTGGTCTCCCTCACCTACTGGGGACAGTACTCATAAATGTTTAAGGTTATTCCTTTTGAGGAAAATGACAAAAAAGCCTCTGTGAGTCAAATGCAAGTCACTACTGTTCCATCACCCAGGGAGAGAATGGCCCCCAAGAAGTGACCTATCATCCTGCTTCTCTTGCCTTGGCTATTAATGCAGAGGCCCCCATCCTTTTCGAGCAAAGGACACCTCTATCCTTGTGCGGCTGTGTGTGGCTCACTTCCCACGTCTGGAGGAAAGGCTGTCCCACCCGGTGTCCCAGGTTTTCAGCTCTCAGAATATACCCCGTTTCTGCTCTCACATTCTTCACCACCCCTGACCTTCCTGCCTGGTGCCCTCTATTTCTGGTTTAGTTTTCTTTTAGGGATACTAGGAAATTGTGATCCCGTACCAAAACAATTTTTAAAAATAGAACCCCCGGGGTGGAAAAACAGAGTTAAAGGTATTTTGGGCTTTGGCTCTTTTTTGCCTTCCTATTTAAGAAGGTATTTAAAAGAGAGAAGACATGCACTCATCAGTTCTATTTATAATGGCTCATCAAGCCCAGAAATAGGCATTTAGCCACCACTACTGACTGAGCCCCCCAGGTGCAGCAAATGTGCCATGGGCAGGGAGTGGAGCCTCGACAGCATACGGCCCTTAGGAAGGGGTGCACGTTGCAGAACACCCACAGACATCACTGCACCAGGGAGAGGCCACAGGCCAGGTGGGCGGTATGGCCACCAGAGGGTAAGCTCAGTCTTAGATAAACAGAAGTGAAGAGCCACAGAGAAGGGAGACGGGCTCCACTCCTCTCAAACTATGTAAGTAGCACTTCATTGAGAAACATATTTAGAGAAAGGCCTAAAAGTTGCAAAAGGACTTAATACTCGGTGTTGGTTAATGCAGATTTTCGAGTATATGCAGCCACTCAAAATTTGGAAATGCTCTCACAGTGTGTGGACAACGATTTGTGTCTGTGATGCAAAAAAAAAAAAAAAAAAGAAAGGCGGGCTTAAATTTAGAAAGTCTGCAGCAGGAAGGTCTTAGCAAAGAAGTCATGATGACATAGGACACCGGACTGAGGAGTGGACAATATGAGTCTCGGGCCCCTGTTGCTGCTAAACAGTGGTGGCCACGGACAGGTCTCTTGACTCCTTGGCCATACAGGTCCTTTTCTGGGAAAATGGAAGAGCTCTGCTAGGTAACACCCAATCTCTTTCTTCCTCTAAAAAATCTCAGAGAAGAACTCTGTTCACACATGTAAGTTTTATTCAGCAGCAAGTATTAAAAAAGACCAATGGCAGCTTAGTTTTAATAGCCAAATAACTGGCGTTTCATTAACTAAGTTAGTCATTAACTAAGAAGTAAATGCTCATAAAGCAAGTGTTGGCAATTTTGCTTTGCTTTTCTACTTAACATGCATGTATATCAGTACATATGTAATTAATATGCATTTTAATCTGAAAATGATCAGAAAGTACAAGTGGTTTTTGATGACTAAGCAAATCTCCATGCAATACTTTTTGACTTTACCTACTTCTCTTTCAAAAAAAAAAAAAAAAAAAAAATCCATTTAAATATGACTTGTTTTTTTTCCATTAGGGGAAAAAAAGAAAAAACCCTGAAAAAAATTGGGAGTAAAGGAAGAATGGCTAAAAAGTGCTAAGAGCTTGTCCTGGAGAAAAGATGTGGGTCTGGGTGGGAGACCCATCTGCCATGTGCCCAGAGAAGGGCTTCAACATGTCTGGATGACTCCTGAGTTCAAGAAGAGTACCAACCACCGTGCACGTGCAAATATTTGCAACTATTTTCTCATTTAATCCACAGAGAGAGAAATATTAATATCGGTAAGAAAATAGCTCAGAGAGGTTAAGTGTCTTCCCAGACACACAAAAAGAATGAGCATTTCTATGTGTCTAACTTTAAACTCTATGTTATTTCTATTGTGTCAGACTGCTTCTGCCAAATAGACAGCAGGATTGGGGGGTGGAAATATATTTGGGGGGAAATATGAAGAAAAACAACATTTAGAAGTTTCCAGACAAAATGATTTTCAGAGACAGAAATGAGATTTCCAGGACCTAGCTGAGTAAAGATATTGGGAAGCTAGATTTGATAAAAGGGTCATATTCTGCTCCCTTTGTCAAGAAAGTCTTATTATGAAAAAACGAAACAAAACCCAGCTCAACTAAACAGCATCCTTAGTGATGTGGCTGATTCACTTTTGGGGGCAAGTTCCTTGTCTAGCTGCTAATCTGTCAATGCTTGACGACTGGTGGCCAATCCATGGACCACACATGCTACTTTGGGTAACTCTGAAGGACTTTTTCAAATCCATACTCTGCTCTTCCCCCCTCATTAACAGGGGAGGGAGGGAGAAAGACTGAGAAAGACTGAGAGAAAAAAAATGTGTGTGTGTGTGTATGTGTGTGTGTGTGTTGACTGAGATAAAATATAGCTCTCCAGGAAAAGCCAAAGGAACTCTTGGCAGGGGACCATTTTAGTCCACTGATATTAACTGAGGACAACCCAGCAGTGCTTCTAGAAATGACGTGGCTGGACTAAAATTCATGGGTGTTACAAGAGCTGAGAAGGTTTGCAGGGAGAGTTTGGTAAATCCCCACAGCACTGGTTTACTGCATTCTAGATATAAAATAGGTGTCTGGCTACCTCACATTTATATTCATTCAGAAATATGCAATCATCCAATCATCAGACTGACTGGGTAGTTGATTTGGGGGGGGGGGCGTAAGCAAAAGCATATATTTGGGGGTCTCATGCTCACTCTGGGGAACCCACAAGCCACGACCAGGAAACTCAACATGAACTAGAGCAGGGGTTGGCACCCTTTCTCTGTAAAAAGGCTAGATAGTAAATATTTTAGGCTTTGAGGATGATGGAATCCTTGTCACAACTGCTTGACTCTGGTGTTGCCCCACAAAAGCAGCCAGAGACAGCACGTGAATGAGTGGACATGATTGCCAATAAGATATAATTTACAAGAGGAGGCAGTGGACAGGACTTGGCTCAGAGCTGTAGGTGGCCAACCCCTGAACTAGAGCCATAGCCACTGACTCCTACATGCACGGGCAGCAGGGAGATTCCATTTTTAGCACTATCTCCAACTGAACCTGTTAGCAATGCCCAAGAACTCTAAGCTGCACCCAGACTCAGAAGAGAGGATGTTGTGTGATTGCGAATGCTGCATTTGGGTGGCTACAGCCCCTCCATGTAAGGCTCACATGTTCAGGTGCAATCACAGGAAGTGTTGTTTACAAAGACGCACTGCTCTGTATCAGGAAGTCCAACGCACCCATGGACATGAATCGTCTGAAAAGGTTTTAGGATGGGCAAGCAAGGAAAGTACCTGTGGTAGCCTACTTCAGGCCACCATCCCCAACCCAACTGGTTCCTCACCAGACCTAAGAGACGTTGCTAACTGCCTCAAAGGAAGAAACTCCTGAAATATTTTCCTAACTCTGGAAGCACAGGCAATCTTGGATAATTCCGCTACAAACACTACCTGAGGATTAAAAAAGCCATCTGCAGAAGCCTTGAATGGAAACCACGTACCTGGGCTGGACTCGTCAGGAGGGGGGCTGCAATCTGCACAGAAATGGAGGGCGACACGGATGATTAAGGAGCAGCACAAAGTTCAAACATGAACAACTCAGCACTTACAGCGACTGCGTCGGCAGCCGGCCGTAAGGTGGCTCAAATGAGCAGAGAAGAGGTCAGAGGCAGGCCTGCCCGCCTCTTCCCTGAGAAGTCCCACGCAGGCACCCGGCTGCTCTCAGGCAGCCGAGCCCTCTTGGTGGTAAACACTGACTGACTCACTGACTTGTTCACTCATGTTGCTAAGACTCTTGAGGTAAGCAAACTCAACATACTACAATGTGATTCAGTGCCCTCATTGATCACATTGCATGTGGTGGAGCACAAGTCATCTCCCAGCATCTGGAAGCACACTTGTAATGAGAGAGACTGACCAGCAAACTGATCAGAGCCCGTGGCCCTGCCTTGCGAGCGGAACCTGGGCTGCAGACTCACATGCTGAGACCCGAAGGTGAGGATCCCGTGATGAAACCAATATACCACCCTACATCTATGCCAATCTTAGAAATTTCAATCAAATTGAAAACTTTTATGATCTGGGGGAAGTCTAGAATTACAATGTCCCTCCAGGTCACTCAAAGAATGCCAATTTTAATTCAATTGCACTACGCTACTCCCATTTCAGCAAGTGAAGTACTCATTTCTATTTATATTTCCCTTAACAACTCTAAAATTCCTTGGTTAACTGGGTGTGCCATCTGGAGGAAAACAAGTCTGAAAAGGAGTCATTTTATGTCTGCAGGATACTGAAACGGGTAGTTTCAGAGCCCCCCAAAATAGCTGGAACCGGCTGAATAGAGATGTTTACAAACTGGATTGCCCAGAGGTGGAGGGGGCAAGGGATCCTTCCTCTTTAGTTATCTTTGGCAGTGACTTCTCCCACTGGCAAAGGGGACAGAACAGAGCAAATGAAAAGGCCCCTGTGAGCTTAAAACGTCAGCCTCTTCATTAGGCCCTAAATATGCTGAGACTGGCTCCCTAACAAAGAGAAAAATCCACAGTGATACAGGGCAGTGATTCTTAGACCTCTGTCCAACTAATCAGAATTACCCCAGGTCTTGAGAAACAAACAAACAAACAAAAACCCAGATTTCTGCCTCCCCATAACCTTTCCTCCAAAATTCTGAGTCTGAGGGAGGAGGAAGGTCGAGGGGCCTGTTTTCATGATCATCTGTGAAGATCCCAAATAGTTGTGAGCATCCCTGAAAAGGCACTGACAGTTAAACTCAGCTGGGTAAATTCAATCTCTCAATCAAAGCAGGGAATATGTGTGTGGGGTGGGTGGGGGTCTCCTTTGGTACTCTTGGACCAGTGGCTTGTACCTTCTCTGAGGCCATGGAGTCCCCTGAGATTTGATGACCTCTGTATACCTCCTCTCATCTTAGCACATAATCTCAGGGGGCATACGAACCTGGGGTGAATCCCCAGGTCTCAGGTTAAAACAACCTGGTCTGAAGTTTGTCTGAATGGCTCTTCAGAGATGAGAAGAGGATGAGTGCGTGCATAGCCAGGTCATGAATGCCACCAGATGGGGTGTGGGGCACTCGTGACTTGTGCGGAAAGCGGGAGAAGGAAGGAAAGGCTCCCAGAGCCTCTGTGGTTCCAGCTGGCAGGGACTTGTCAATGGGTCCCGCAGTGGTGTGTGTCTGCCAGGCAAGACTCTGAGTCCTGTGGGAGAGCAAGCTAGAAGGCAGGGGAGCTCCTGAGCAGAAGATGGACACCAAAAACCTAGCACAGTGTATATAGCTAGAATGAAAAGTCATGATGCCTCTCGAAGAGGCACAGAGTTCTCTGTGTATGGTAAGCTGGTGTGAACACAACCTGTTCATTAGGCTAAAACAACTGGCCCAGGAAGCTAGATGGTATGGAAAGTCATGCCAGAGCTGAGCTCTGGCCCTTGATGGTAAGAGACTGGGTAAAGAGCTTGCAGTCTCCAGTCTCCTTCTTTCTGATCCTCCTGATCACATCCAGCTCTGAACGGCTTCCTAGCTATGCTCACAATTTTTAAATTAAGGATCATCCACAGTTAATTTAGTGGCATACGGTTTCATACATTTCTTTGAGTACTGATCAGCCAAGTTAGACTCTCTCAAATGTATGCTTCATATTCCCATGACCACAACAGAACTGATTTGCATGGCAAACATAAGCCATACCCTAAATACCATAAATAAATGCTCATTTAAATAACTTGAAGGCTGAATTTAAATTGTCTACATTTGACCAATACAGGATGTTGCCTAGAAGGAAAGTGACATTTAACTTATGAATATAACAAAATATCTGATTAAAAAAACTCTCTCTGGCATTTTTTTAAAGCCCAATAAATTACTCTTTTTATATCTGCAGAAAAATTTTAAAATTACAAGCAAGACAATATTGAAGAGAAATGAGCAATGAGCTTTCAGATTTAAAAAAAACAAACATAATTTACATTAAAAAAATGAGAAGACAAACAGGACAAAACAGCTCCATGAAACCAGTCACAGGTTTGGGGAACTTAAACTAAAGTCCTTCACAGATGGAAGGGTGGAGGACGTGAACATTGCTGAATCAGAGGCTCAAGTGAAACCATGCCCTGGGAACAGACTGCAGGCAGATTGAAAAAGTGAAGGGCAGCTTACAAAGGAAGGATTTATCAAGAGGCTGTGATAAAGGAACACGCATCTGCCTTGAATGAAAGCTGTCCAACTCAGAAATGAAAAATCCTCGCTGTCTGAAGGCTAGCCTTCGCCCATCTGGGCCTTACTAACTACAGCTTCCCACTCCCAGAAGAGAGCAGTGGACGGACACCACAGCTAGGTCTGCAGCCACCTCAGCTACCTGGCCCATGATCCCCTCTGGCTCTCACAGCAAGACCTGGAAGGCCGCGACAGGCAGGGACCAAGGATGGGCTGGCAGAGAAAGCATGCATGCCCAGTTTTAAGGCTACATGATGGACAGATTGTCTGGTTGTGTTCCGTCTCCGCAGGCAAAAGACTATTTCTGAAACACGTTCCTGCAGGCCAACATCCTACCATCTACTGAGAACCCTGCCTTGGGGGCAGTACCAACCGGAGGAACCTATCTCAGCCCCAGGAGTGGGTTCCCCCATCTGACTGAGTGACCCACAAGTGCCACGGCAACGTCCCCTACTGGGTAACAGCACCCCCAGCTGATGACAACCAGCCTCTAGACAAGTCTGCCGAGCCTGCTAACAGCTCTCATCCAGCTGTGTCCCTGCATGAGTCACCTTTTCCTTGACTCTCCCACCTCCTAATGCAATCAGCAATCTCAGGAGAAAAGCATCTGCGTTTTGGCCGCCTTCGGGTTCTCAGATTGCTTTACGAACCAGAACAGCCAGAGAGCCCCACCCTGACGGGCAGGGAGACCCAAGATGGCCTTAAGAATCTGCCTTTGCTGGACACACAGATTTGCACATGGCTCCCCATGCGTGGACCACGGGGGCTTCTGCCCTCCCTGCCCGCTTCTCCGTGCACTGTGACCTCCAGCTCTGCCTGACAGCCCTCCCTGCAGTCTGTATGGAGGGAAGAGGTCATGGAATCAGACACAGAGAGACAGACAGACGCAGTGCGAGGTGGAGGCAGCATTAATGGGCGGTGTGGACGCATACGCACGTGTGGTTGGGTGAGGATGGCATGCGGGTGAGGATGGCATCGAGCAGATGGCAGAGGGGCATGGCGAGGAGGGGACATCGCAGAAGGGGTCTTCCGGTTTGATCCAGTAGGCGTGGCTGTCCCGGTTACCTTTCTTGCTGGTACAGCTGCCCGCGCAAGGGAAGACATCCTCACAGCCCTCGCCATGCAGGCGCTCCTTCTGCAGCAGCTTGTCCACCCGCTGAATGATGCACTCCAGGCTCTTGTCCACATTCAGCCACACTTTCTCCTTCCAAACCGAAAGGGTGCATTGGGGTCAGCTCTCCCTACTGGAAAAGCAGAACAGAACACAACCCCTTTCCCTGCCCCCCAAGCCCCCTCCCCACATACACATACACACTGACTCCCCTACTCTGGGCCACTGTGATCATTAAAATACCACGAATTTAGAAATATCAAGATTAATTCAATATTCCCTATTACTGCTATATTTGTTTTTCAAAATACAGATCAATGTACTGCGCTCATTGTTTTTAAAGTCAGAGACACGTTTGCTAGTAACCATCACAGAGGCTGGACAAGACTTCCCAGTGCCTTCCAGAGCTGGCAGACAGACCACAGGGCCCAGGGGGCCAGCACGTCCCTCCTCCCTCTGCTGCAGACCTCCTACAGAGAGGACTGAGACACAGAGAGGACTGAGGGAAGGTAATGGGAGGTAATGGGAGCAGTTGATCACTTCAGATGGGGGCAGTGGGGAGGTGGGGAGGCAGGGCTGGGAGCGGTCTGCAGAAACCCACCCAGAATACAGGACACCAGGGCAGGGCTGGAGGAGCCTTCGCTGCTGACTAAAAACTCAGTGCCTCACAGAAAAATGCCTCCAAGCAGTAGTCCTAAGAAATGACAAAAATGAGTTGTGTGATGTGTCACTCCCTCAGGAGAGACAGAGGCGGCTCTCAGGGCCACTGTGTCAGGAAGCAGGAGGCAACGCGGACCATGTCAGGGGTAGCATCTCCAGACTCCTCCCCACGCCACCAAATACAAATGGCCCTGGAAGGGCTAACTGTGTGGAGAGCTTTGAGGAAGCAGGGGGCCTGGCTGGTCTTGAGTAGACAGTGACAGGAGACAGGCTGCCAGCAAGGCAAGGGCTCTGTGGAGAACATCACCCCTTTCACCACCAAGTCTAGCCCGAGCCTGGCCTGTAGCAGCCCTGCCCCTCAGACGGACACAGGGTGTGAAAATGCCATCTCCCTCCCTCAATCAGGGGGCCCAAGCGCTGTCTGGCAAGGAGACTCGGAGCTTGTCCACCAAGCAGCCAACCTGTTAGGTACCCCTTGGTGGGGGAGAGGGGCTGGCCGGAGGCTTTGAATTTTTCAACCCAGGCCCAATGGCAGAACGGGGGCCACAGGCAGCAGACTCACCCACTCCTCCTCGTGCCAGTCCACCTGCAGAGAAGAACGGCTGTTCCTCCCCGTCCACCTGGCCATGAGGGTGTCCTGGTCGTTCCTAAGCATCACCTGCTCCTCCTCACTCGACGTTGGGGAGGCCTTGGAGGCAATGTAGTCGGGCCGTGCTGCATTCAGCCCATGGATGGAGTTGGCCAGCAGTTTGCAGTCACACACGGTGACCAGCTGCCGGGTCTGCAGTACACACAAACCAGAGCTGCTGAGCCTCCAGGCAAGGGGCTGCAAGGCAGGCTGTCTCTGAGAGCTCAGGAGCAGACCCAAGGCCCAGATGGGCACCCGTCTCCATAGGGCAGGAGCCCTTGGGATGGCTGAGTTCAAAGACTCCCACAAAAAGAGTGGAGGAAACAGGGAGAATGAGGGAAGTTGAGAAATCTCTGACATTCTTCCATCCCTGCCCGCCTCTGAGCCGGATGTGACTCGAGGCAGGGCCTGGAGGGAGCCCAGTGTCCTTGCCTTCACTGACTTCTTGGGCCATCCTTTCCAGTTCCAGGGGATAGGCAGGAATTTGAGGCGATCACTTAAGTCTTATCTTTTTGCAGCTAATACTTAAAGCCCTGGACTCTGGGCAGTGGGGCTCTCAGCACAGCACTGTGGTTCTGGGGAATTCTGTATGCAGCAGGAATTCTGGGGCTCATAATTTTCCTTCTGATAACATCATCTTTATTTTCCAAATGGATCTAGTTTCCAGCCCTTGATCTCTTGGCTGAGTGAACACATGTGAAGGATATAACACATTCTGATCAGGAAGAGCACCTCACCCCAGCAAAGTGGGTGTGAGTGGGGAAGTGTGATCAGAATCTCTGTATGTGTGTGCGTGTGTGTGTGTGTGCACACACATGCGTGCGGAGAGACTGAGTAATGTGAAAAAGCATCATCCATCAAAATGATCTGATATATCTAACGTCCCAGTATAGACCAATATTTATATATTTATTTACATATCTATATCTGTATATGCATTTTAAGATTTATTTATTTGAGAGAGAGAGAAAGGGAGAGAGTAGGGGCACACACATGCCGAAGTGGGGCAAAGGGCAGAGGGAGAGAGAGAATCCCAAGCAGACCTCCCCCCACTGAATGCAGAGCCTGACATGGGGCTTGATCCCAGAACCGTGAGATCGTGACCTGAGCCAAAAATCAAGAGTTGGATCCCTAACTGACTGAGTCACCCAGGTGTCCCTGTTTATTTTTAATAAGGATCAAGTAACAGCCAACTAAAAAATGGCTTATTGATTACGTGTAAGCCAAGGAAGCTATATTTCCTTTATTGTATGTCTGTACAATAACTCAGCTTCTTTTTTCAAATTCCAAGTTAATAAAAATTGGCAAAAAATGCACTGAGTAGTCAGTTGCTAAGAAAGCTGCAGAACTATCTCAGCCTCCACAGTTAAGCTGATGGACTTGAGGGATGACACATCTGCATGAAGCAGCAGCTGGAAGTCCCCCGCCCTGGGTGCTGTCCGTGGCCTGCCCTCATCCGGCTCTGTGACCACAGGGCAATCACCAAACCACCCTGGGCCTCTGGCAGAACTAAACCTAAAACTAGATCTTCAAGGTCATCCCAATGTCACCTTTTGTAGGGACGGCTCTAAGCACATGGGGTGTCCAAAGGTTTCCGGAAACCCATGGGAGCCCCCATCTCACATGTAGCAGGGGGTGTCTCCTACCTTGTCAGCAAGGATGGCAAGGGTCCTTTCGAGGCCAGTGGCAGACCTGTCCTTAGCCGCCCTTGAGAGCCGCTCTGCATAGTAACTCACTTGGGTTTTCAGGGTATTGATCTGGGCAATGATCTCCTTGGCTCTGATGATGTCCTGTGGTATGTAGATTATGGACTGGCAGCTGGATGGTGTACTAGAAAGGATAAGAACAGATTCTAAGGGGTTTTCTCAAATCCATGAGGATGGCAGCAGCCTCCCAAGCAACCCCAGCCCACAACCAACATTAAGTAAAGCATTCTGATACTCAGTGATGTTCTCCTAAGCTAGTCTAGCTATTAATGGGCAAAAGTAAATTTCAAGATTCTTTCTGTCTATATGGTAGAGGGCTTGAAATAGCAAAACACAGTGAAGTCTTTTGTCTCTATTTGTAGGTGTCTGTATTCTTACATAAATGCATAAACAGATACTGAATCCAATAATCACCCGAATGCTCATAACATTTCACCTGAGAACCTCGCCTGTCAACTTATCCGCGGCACGGGAGGGGAGGCACGGGGTGTGCTAATCTCAGAAGGGGTCAGTGTATCTCGGGGAAGGCAGACTGCCATGGATGCCAGACTTTCCACAAGAAACCTGTTTCTCCGTTGGGCCAATCTTCAAACTTTCCATGCACATACACGTAGTTCTCTCTCCTCAGACCTCTGACCCCGACAACTAGACTTCCTTCTCCAGCACTTCTCTACTTTGAAAAATAATGTTCCATCAGATGAAGAAGAGGTGAAGAACGTGCCAAGTCAGAGGCCAGGTGTGGCCACCTCAAGAGTTTTGAACACCTGGTTCTTCCTCCTCCCCTCATCCACCAAGCCATGTGTGATCTTAGGATTGAGGTCAGAGCTACAGGCCAGCCCCTGTGCATTACAAACACCAGTGACCGGAGAACCGACTCTGCGTCCTGGCTGTGTGGGGCCTGGCTAATGCGTTTGGCCATTCTAGATGGAGATGATACATCCAAGTCTCTAGGCCAAGATCCTCATTCAATATAATAGTATAAATGTAGGTTTTAGACCATCTGAGGAAGCCAAGGAAAGCACAGAGTGTAAGGCCCCAGTGATGATGTCTCCTGCAATCTGAACTTGTGAGCTCTAGCTGGAATGGGAGTCTCAGCCTTCACTGGTCCCCTCAAAGAGCTGCCCTCTGAGTTTTGGAGATGAGGGAGAAGGTGGAGGAGCACAACCTCTATCACCTCTCTTGGAGAGGAGGACTTGAGACCCTTCCCTGCTGGGCTTTTTGGACCCTGAAGGCAGGCCCCCAAGAAACCTCCATTGACAGACTATGGTATAAACATGCAAAACCCAAAAACCAAAGCATCCCAGAAAGAAAAACACCCCAAGCCCACACACCACAATAAAACACGATGGATTTGCCAGAAGCCCATGCAGCAGACCGCAACCAAGCCTGCGTGATCTGAGAAGTAATTTCACAGCACAACGTGCACACGACTACTTTCCAATCTGCAATCACTCTTCCAAATGAATAGCTGCCATTTGACAATTGAGTCTTAGAAACACAATCTCAAACAGGATTGTTAAAGATCTGTCCTTCCCTGGCCCCAATCTCTAGTGCTTCCTATAGATATATGCATGTGTATGTAGATGGCTGTGTACACTTTGACCAGTACACACAGTCTCCCAAGCCCGACGGAGAGCACCGCCTTCTACTCACCTTGTGTTCTTACAGGTCATGTTCTAATAACAGGAATCTGGGACTTACACACAGGAAGCACACGGCAGGGGGAGGGGTGTGGAAGAGTACATTTCAAAGAGCTGTTAGGGGATGATGGCGAATATACAAGCATGTGTGCTCAGTCCTAGTCCTAGAAATGGGGAAAGCCCAAGAGGTCTCAGCACGTCCTGCTGTCCCCATCTCAGGCAGGGCCCTGCCATGGCCCTGAGCCTCCCCAGCTCTGAGATGGCACAGTTCGAGAGGGCTGGAGGTGCTTCTGGGGCCTATCACCAAGCAAAATGCCCCTGCAGAACCCTGGCTGTCACCTGAGCAAGCATGCTGGGCACGACTGGGGAGGGCCCGGGGCAGCTGGGGGGACACCAGGCTGCAGATACAGTGCTTTTTAGCTGCCAGCTAATTCTTTGGTAGGAAAAGTCCCTTGGTTATATTAATTCTTGCGTTGCCCTCAGGGGGAAAACTGGCCCAAGGAACAGTGTTTTAAAAATCTGCATAAATTATATTCATGAGAAATGGAAGCTGGCTTCACTCCCATAAGACGGGACGGTAAGGTGAAAACTGAAGGCCTAAGATTCTTATAAAATAAGCCAGCAAGGGATTCCCGACCCCGCCACTGGGTGGACTTGAAATCCCAGCACCTGGCAACTTGTCCAGCCTGGGAGAAAACAGGGTCCTCTCTCAGAGTGCGCCCAGCAAGAAGCTGCTGCCAGATTTGGAAGGTAAAATGGGACACTGGACATGGGCTATTCATTATCAAAGAACGTTGCAGTTGGAAGAGAGAATTCTGTCTACGAGGCTATAAACCAGGGGCCGCCGGTGGCACCGAGGGCCGAAGCACCTCACAGAGGAGGGGACAGCACAGGCTTTCTCTACAGGAGAGCAAGACCCCAACAGACACTCTCTCCACAGACAGAAAACTCACCAACACTCCTCAAAACTGCTAAAGAAAAGAACCAAAACGAAATATTAGCAGTTAGCAAACACCAAAGGCAAAACAAAAAATTAAAAAGCCAAGTTATCTTTTGTCAAAATCTTTGGAATTATGTGTTGAGGTACCCACTACAGGAACCATAAAACTTAGGAGCTCATTCATCAGAGCAACGTCCGCGTCTGTACGCAAGCCCCAGGGAGACATGCCGCCTGTGGGCCAAGTTATGTCTGCATTTAAAGTACAATTCAAATAATGAAAATCATTTCTATGGGTGGCTTTATAACATTGGTAGGAAATTAAAGAAAGACTTATATTATTCATCTGAAAAATACTCCAGAGGCATTGTGGAAGTAAAGAGATCTGAAGTCAACATACGGGGTAGTCAGGTATTCACATCTGGACCTTTGTGAGACAGTGACAGCCAGTGGTGCCCCTCCTGATGGGCTTTCCCCTCCAGGGCCCCCATGGCATCCTCCAGTCTCCCACTCACACCCCCACACAGCCAAACGCAATGGAGTGACAGACACGTGCTCTCTTGGCTGGCTGTGCAGGGCTGTGGGGAGCATAGGAAGCTGCCTCTTCATCGTAATCCCCAGGGAACAGCAGAGTCAGTGACTCCTCAGGTGGGTCTGGCTTGTCTGGGTGGGGAAGACACCCTTGATGGGATCCATCTAGCTAAGTGGGCTATTTGGGGGCCTCCCTAGGATGCTGCCCCGACCTTCCGGCTGAAATTCCTCCTCCTAACCGCTGGCCACTTCTGGTTCTTCCTCCTGCTGCCTCCAGGGCTCACTTGGCTCCGGGACCCCTGTGCACACATCTGAGCCATAATGTCTCATAGAGCACCCTCTTCCACCTGCAGGCTCACTCCTCCAGCCTCGCTCCATGGGCAGAAAAGTTCCTAGCTGCATCTCTGATCCCCTTGGCCCAGTGAACTGCCACTGTCCCTGACCTTCCGCCCCCTCCTTGATCTGATCTTCGGGCAGTTTTCTCAAGCTGCGTTCTGACTTCTGGCCATGACAGCACAGAGCCTCTGATTCCCTGGCAGGTGCTAGAGCTCTCCACCTGGCCGCCTTGTCGATTCCCTTGAAGCCTCCTGGGCCTTGGCTTCAACTCTCCTCCAGCTGTTCCATTCTCCATTGCCAAGTCCCACACTTTCAACTCTACATTCTGCAGAGCTGATCGACAGTATCTTCAGCTTGTTTCCTCACTCCTCCGGGATCTCTCTGCACCCCACCTTCTAGGACTCCCTGCCTGGTCTGGCCTTTGGATCTCCACAACCTAGCGCCATCAACGTTCTCTTCCCAACAGTTCTTTACTGTCGTCATCCCCATCAGCCTGAACACATAATCAAGCAATGACCATTCTCCCCAGGCAGACACCTACGTGCTATTTCCTCTACTCCATGGTCCACGGATCTCACAGGACCATCTACTCTCGTCGCCCCTACTTCTCACACTTGCCTCCCTCATCTATTTAAATCTTGACGGGTGACATTCTGGAAGATCACCAATGCCTCCCACATATCCAACACAACAGCTGAGGTTTATGGCTCTCTCTCCGTCACCCCTGCTCCAGGCATGGCACGGCTTGCTCCAAATGCTGCTATGAACTTGTCTGCTCCCAGGAAAGACTGGGAGGCCCTTGGGGCCAGGCTTACCTGTCACCCCTGCGTTCCTGGACATCAGCGTGTGGCCCTGCACTGAGCAGGCTGCCAGCAAGGCCAGCCCTCCCGCTCAGCTCCTGTCCTCAAGCACCATGCCTCATGCCTCCACCACACCTCCCGGCATGCTCCACGAGGCCCTTCTCCAACTGCCCACCTGGCCATTCCCTGTTCGGACTGCAGCTCCCCTCCCACCCCCACCCCACTCCAGCTTTCCTAAAACCGAAATGTCTACCCCTGCAGTCCTTTCAGGAAAGGCAGCAATCTCCTGTAGGCTTCACACTTTGTGGCATTCAACACAGACCACACACGTGGCATGACAAACCAGGGGCTCTACGGGACAGCTGAGCCAGCGGAGAGTCCACACGGGCTACCCACCCCCCAGGGGGATTTCGATCTGCGGCTCACTTGCAAGGTCAGGACCACTTATCAGGTGCCTTCCTCACTCCCCAGCTCAGTCGCACACACAAAAGCACAGGGGCCACAAGGCAGCTCCTCCCGCCACACAAAAGCACATCGGATGGCTGGATGTTTTGCTGTCACGTTTTGATTTTTTTTTTTTTTTAACCTAGGCAGCACCAGACAGCTGTACAAGGTCCACGGACACCCTCCAAGTACTTACTGCTTCTTGGTCTCTTCGAATTTGTGCAGCTTTTTGCGGAGACCTCCTGACTTAAAACCTTGGCAGTGTGCTGCTGGCGCTCCGATGGTGACGATGTCATAGTTCTGATCTGAATGACAGAAAGCTCTCCTCCGTTACTCTGGGCTCAGGCCTGTGGACAAGCCAGCTACAGGGATATGCACGCAACTCTGGGACCCTGCCCCTCCAGCCCATTTCCAAGCAGCCTGTTCCCCCAGTCCCAAAGCCTGGACTGTCTGCGGGCCCCCGGAGCCCAGCATCATGATCTCGGGGGGTATGGGGTTCCTACACCTCTCCAGATAAGGCCACAAAGGGCCGAAGGCAATCACTGGCAATACTCAGACTGCATCCTCCTTGGGAAGGAGAACTGACAGGTGACTTGCTGCCACAGAAACACAAAGGGAAGCTGGAGGAAGGATGGACGAGGGGAAGGGACAAAGGGAGGGGAAAAGTCTAGGGAACAGAGACCTTACGGAGGTCCTGTGCCACGTCTCTTATCTGAGCTGCCAGAAGCACACAGGGAAGGCTGCGCACGTGTGGGGCAGCCTGGGGACCAAGCACACAGGGAGAAAGGAAGTCAAGTGTGATTTAGCAAGAGGAACAGAAGAATAGTTACCTGACCCCCCATCGTCTTGAACTCTCATCCTCTGTATGTGCAAGTTTGTGGGAACAAATTCTAACTTTTTATCTGCTTTCAAACTGCTCGCTTTAAACGAGGGACCTAAGAAACAATACGAGAAAACAAGGACCGTTGACATGTATGCTGCATTCAGGAATGGCGAGTAGGACAGTAAATTCTGAGGAAGCGGCTTCCTGTAAGCAGGTATGTGCTAGTGGTGGCCAAGGAAATTCTGAGGTGCCTGTGAGTACATTTTGTCTCCAGATGGCAGGCTGGGTCAAACACTGGAGGGTGGGCAGCCCACTGGCCAGAAGACTGGTTTTAGGGGCTCAGCTGGTGAGCAGGGCCAGGTAGGAGCAGCTTCAGAAGGCTATGGTTACCAGCGCCCCCATGACTCATCTCTCAAATGAGAAGTCTGACATAAAAACTGATTTTGTGCAACACGATGTCAGCACTGCTATAAAAAGCAAATGGGCCCATGCCAGGGTCTGCCTGTTCCAACCCTGGAGACCGCCAGCATGTAAGATCGAAGAAACTGGTTCAGTAAGAGCAACACGTCTCAAGTCCACAAAGAGATGAAAAGGTCTGCTCATTACCTCAGATCTATCAGGACGAACAAATGCTATATGGCATGGATCCTGGCCCTCTGAAACACATACCTAAACGTGTTCCCTTGATTCTACTCAGGGGGTTAAGGAGAGTGGATGATGTTTTATAACTGATATCTGCAATCTTGTTTCTACGATCAGAATCCAACACTAATTAAGAACTACATGCTTAGAAAAGGAAGGGACTGCAGATTAACTGACGATCAGAAGAAAAAATAAACTTTCTCTCTAGTGATAAAAGGCAAATCATACCAGCATACAAAATGCAGAACAACCACTGTCTGCTTTGCATTTTGTGCTAGGAGACTGCCCTCCAGGGCCTGATATGTACAGGGGGCCCAGAGATCAGCAGTAGTGGCACCCAGGGAGCCTGATGAAAATGTAGGATGCTAGATCTGCACTGTAGCAAGATCTTCAGGGACCAGGATGCATACTGACAGCTGAGATGCTCTGCTCTGGAAAACCCAAGCTCATGTGGGTTTCCTGTTTCCCCAGATAACAGGTATCCAGCATGGGTAGGTCCCTAAGTCTCTTCGGCTACACGCTGCCAATACACTTAAGCCTGCCCTTCAGATTCAAACCAAACCCAATGGCACCATCATCTTGTCCTCATAACTGCATGTGGCTTCTTCTCAGCCAAGTTCATGGACAGGTTCATTCGTTCTGTAGCAAAACCTTAATATGAAGGACTTACGTTTTCTCTTAACCCTGAAATCCATAATGTAGTTGGGGGTGGGGGAAGAAAGAATCTGAAGATAGAGAATAAAGTAACAAAAAATAAAAAAATCTATTCTATTTAGGAATAAAAAGGGAGTAAGTTAAGAGAAGTCTTCTAAATCTATCCCTTGAGTATTCTGAAAATCAAACTGGATTTTTCAAGAAGAAATATAAGATGTCTATACTTCACTTTCTCTTTTGAGCCTAAAATGGAGCACTCCACTCAATCTGGATATTCAATAGAGGACTGTTGAATGTTTAAACTGGGAAATCTAGGAAACCACTCTGTGTCAGAGCAAACAGTTTATGTCTTCTGGGGCATTTCCCTTGAGCATTTTAGACCAAGATGAAAAAATAACATGAACCAACAGCCCATGATTTCATCTCTCCTAAATTTCATCCTACATGAGTTGCTTTGGCAGAAGACACCATAGAAGGAATTTTCAATGCAATTCACATACTTGTCTTCTTATGAGAAACCCACATTCGGAAGAATTCACACCTACATGAGAACCTATTTTTAAAAACCCACTAGAGTGTCTGTCAGGGAGAGTACTTGAGCCAGGTTCTTGTTTCCTAGCTGGAAAAACGAAGATCTAGCACCCACCTTTGTATTGATGGAGGTCAGTCAGGTTCTCCTGGTATGTGAGGATGATGGTCTGGTACTGAGTGACAATCTGGCGCCGGAGGCTCTCCCAGCAAGGGGACAGATCCCCCAACTCCTCCAGCTCACACACTCTGCAAGGCAGACACACACACACACACACTATCAGGCCACAGAGCCGGCTCCCTTCCCTAGGAGAGGCAGCGGCGTCCCAACCAAGCAGAAGAACGAGTGGACATGGAAGTGCAGTCGATGCCAGGGAAGGCCTTGGACAACAGCCACACTGCAGGTCCACAGAGCAAGCAGCGGGCACATGACACACCACTCTAGGAGGAATGGCTGTATGACCAGCAGACTACTCACCATCACAGAAACTCTGTCAAATGTCTGGGGAAAACTAAGTGGAGGAGAGGGGCTCTAGGGGAGTGGCTCCCTGCCCGGACCCACACAGGCCACGTGGGACCCTCCTGGAAGATGAGATGAGTGGAAGCCCGTAAGCCATTTCTTGGGGCCATCTCACCTCTGTCTCTCCCAGAGACAGTTATGAGACAGCTTCTCACTGCCCCCCGTGTTCTGGGGAGGCCTGGGCCTTTCTGCCCTACCCCTAGGAACGCTGCTGCAGAACATAAAGCTGCAGAGCGGTGGTCCACAGCTGGCTGGCACAGGATGACCACGCTCTGCCGCACTCACCCAGCCCCCTCTGTCTCAGGGGTGTCCCTCGGGGGGAGGGACAAGGGCCATAGGAGGTTGGCAACTGTGGTAATGATTTCTTTCTCCACGTGGGTAATGGGCTGTCTAAATCCAGAAGTAGCATGAAGGCAGGGAAAGGGAGAAGAGAAGAAAAAAGAGCATCTGTCACCTCCAGAAAAATAAAAGCTGTGGAAGAATTGAAACGTAACTGTCTTAGCTCAGCAGTAAATAACAGCTACATAATCAGAATAATGAAAATACAGATGGACTTAAAAAAAAAAATAAAGATAACCATATTAGGAAGCTGGGGAACGGGCAAGTACAAAAGATCTAAAACCCTCATCGCAGGGAGTCAGTAGCTAATCCCCAAAACCGATTAAGAGTGTACACTATACATTTATTTAGAAATACAGTGGTAAACACTAAAATGGTTAAAAGTGGTTATTTCTTGGAAGCCGATCAGAGACTAGAGGGCCCCAAGATTTATGCCATTGTTAAAAGCCTTTTGACACTGTTTTTTTATACTATGCATATTTTTCTATGGGAGGGGAGAAGCTAATTTTATGGAATCTACTAGATGGCCCAAGGTTAAAAAAAAAAAAAAGTTGTACCATTTTATCATGAAAATGGCAAAATTCAAGTAAAAGAGTGTGCACGCAGGCGAGGCTGTGGTCAGACCTACACCGGCAGCTGCCTGCGGACCCTGCGGACCCTGCTCACGAGCGCATGAGCCCCGGCTGCACGGCTACCACTAGACCCTCTCTGCTGGCTCAGCCTGTCTTTCTGCTCCTTCTCATGCTGCCGGTCTCAGTTTAATGTTACCATCCCACAGAGGCCTGCCTGGACCACCCTCCTTCTCGCCACCCCCTCGATTTCGGCACACAGCTCATGCAGCTGGGGCTCGGGGCGTGGTCCTCACTTCTCCAGAAGGACTATCTTCCATGGCCTGTCTCACTCATCATGAAGCCTCCCACACCACACACACCACCAGCCACGTGTGTGAAACTGATGTTGAAACACAACAAAACCCTCAAAGCCAAAGTTCTTGAGAAATGGGTAAACTCTTCAAAGTTGTAACCTAGTATACCAAATAATGGGAATTTACGCTGTAATTAAAATTATAACGTGAATAGTGAAGATCTGTGCAAATGTAGATGGTAGCTAGGAAAATCTGCACAAATATGGAAAAGCTGAAAGGAAAAATTTTAAAGTTAAAATAACTATAAAATAGTATATAGATAATACACAGACAAAGCAGCTTGTTGCATTATTCTTGTTATTCTAAGGTTGAGTTTTTTCTAAGATAAAAAATTTTTTAAAAAAGCTTATTTGAACAGTGAGATCCTGACTGAACTGTGTCCTATCACACTTGTTATATTGTGTTCATAATTAACACTGTCTTAGGACAGCAAGAAGAAACAACCTCTGAGGAAGACTGGTGACACACACTGCGATCTGGGGTTGAGCCAGGTCTCTGGCTTCTCCCCACCAGGGGATCAATGGAACATGCCCTTGGCTGAGAGATATGGAGGACCGGAGGGCCCCAATGGGTCACACATCGCTCTCTGTAGCCCCTATCACTGTGGCCCTACCCTAGGAAGCTGCTGACCCGGTGGCCAGGACCCAGGAACAACCGGCCACTCCTAACTTTCTACAGGCCAACTGAGAAGGGAAAGGAGAGGGAAAGGGAGAGGGGCAGGCACTGTGTGCTGGACCCATGTCTGGTGCTTCCCGCACCCTGTCTGGTGGTGGCCTCGCACAGGAACTCAGGAGACAGACGAGCGAACACAGGCTTCGGCGAGCCAAGGCCACAGAGCAAGCAGGTGGTGGCGGCTGGGTCTGAAGCCAGCCTCTCTGCTGCCAGTGCTCTACTCGCCACATCTAAGAGCTTCCTGGAAAGGAAGGGGCAGATGACCCAGGACTGATGGGCAGGCGGGCGGCCTCTCCACAGGGCCTCACCTGGCCGCATCTTCTTCTAGTAGGAGCTTCACGAACTGCCGGGGCACGTGCAAGGACAGCACGCTCTCTGCCATCTGCTCCAGGATCCGCAGGTGGTTGCCGTCCGTGGTGGGGAACCGGTACATGCGGCAGATGGCGCCGCCAAACACTGGGTTGGGTGATGGGGAGGAGACAGGCCACGTGTAAGCCGGTGACACAGCTGCCATGCAGGCCCTCCTCCCTGGGCCCTCAACCCTGCTTCTCACTGTTCCTCTCCAGAGAATGCAAACACTTCAGCCGAAGCCCACCCAAGTGACAGCCCAGCTGCTCCTCCCCTGCGACACACCATCTTCTGGTCCCAAGATGGGGACCTGACTCTGGAGCGCAGGGGCAGGGGCGCGGAGGGTCAATCACCAAACGAGGTAACACAAGGAAGGAGGAAGAGTGGAATGAAGGAGGGGACCCCCCCACACACACTCCTTCCCTGGAGGATTGCTAACTCCACATGCTGGCAGAAAGCATGGCACTTACAAACGTGGCAGGGAGGTGACAAGGTGACAACCGGGGTGCCTGGCCATGACAATCCAACCGGGCAGGGAGGAAAGGGTGAGTGTGGCCCGAGTGGACTCTCACAAAGAGTGGCAAGGGTGCCAACGGAGGGAGCTGTTTACCCGATTTCAGTAAAGTGTCTTTTCGCAACGAAGCATACTTGGATCGGATTCCCAGTGCCTCTGTCAAGCTCTCATCAACCGGGAGAACCATCTAATGACGTGGGCAGAAAAGCAGAGAGACAGTGAGACCCAAACAACTCCAGAACACTCTGCAGAAATGGGGCCCACGTGCATCACTGGAGAACTCTTAAAATTAGTAACCACCATTCACTCTGCAGGAGTACACTGCCCCAGCCCCTAGGTAACCCACCTGCCAGCACCCTGCGCTCAGGCCACGCACACCTGATTTTCCAGTGACTCGGTCACTTCACCCGGTATTGCAGGGGTGTGACATACAGAACGAGAGGCAGGCTAAGATGATGCTCAGGAACGTTTGCGCAGCTGACCTCTTAGGCTTATTTTGGGTAAAATGAGCTAGCTCTGTATGTTACGGCAGTGGCCACTCACCAGTGTTTGGTGTATTAAAACTGTAGTCTGAGAGCATGCGGGGCTGTGTGGGTGACAGGGCATGGGAGGCGGGGTGACAGAGAGGGAGGGGAGGAGGTAGAGAGGGGAGAGGTAATTGAGAGGCTGCAGGGGTGTGCGGATGGGAGGCGTGCAGAAGGCAGCCATGTGGCACACGTGTGCCAGAGAGGGAAGGTCTAACAGGTAAGATAATCCAGGCCTCATTCCACACCCCCTGCCCCCGCCTGACTGCAGCTCCTCCAGCTGCGCTCCCACCCAGCACAGCCTTGCATGTCACAGTCCCTGAGGGGAACCCCTTCTCACTGTTTTGAGAAGTGCCTGGGTGGGGGCACATTCTGCCTAAGGGGCCTGTCTTTCCCTTCCCAGAGCACAGAGGCAAAGTCCACCTGGACACATCCTCTGACTCCTTCCAACATGGAGGAACAAGGCGGTGTGCTCACCCGCCCATTGACGGTGTCCACAGACCGGGTCACAGGGGGCCGCTGGTCCGACTTCTCCTCCATCTGCCAGCCGATCACAGTGATGTTACCCACGCGGTCACTCTCTGCAGATCTGTCACAAGCAAACTGCTTTAATAAGAGGCTATATACCTGTGCTTTGTTTTCTGCTTAAGTGCAAAGCTCAGCCACCCTGGGTCTCCGAGGGGTCAGTCAGCCACCTTTCACCACACATACAGGTTCCAGGGCCGGGGGGGGCGGACAAGGAAACCATGAGAGCAGAGAGGAGGGCTGCAGTTCCACAGAGAAGTGTGCATGTGCCTGTGGTACAGCTGGAGGGGAAGAGCTGTGCTTGCTCGGGAGGCAGTCACTGGCCCCTGGGCTGACCTCTGCCCCAGAGACTGGTGAGGACACATCTTGGAACCAGGACCAGAGACCTTCTTCTGGCACCAAACCCCTTTGATTAGACGCAAGACCTAGGTCTGGACCCCAGTAAGTGGAGGGTTTTCCAAAGACTCTGAATCCTGATATGATATAGGTAAGGCCACTCGAGCCTGCTCAGCTTCACCTGTGAGGCCCCTCAGGGTAGCTGCCAGCTGTCTGAGCCCATCTGATTCATCCAGGGAGGCCCCAGGGATCCCTAACACCTCAGGCTTTTTACTGAAGGAGTCTGAGCCAGGTTCTAAATTTTTATGTGGTCACATATACTGACAACCTCCTTTGTGACTTTTTCTCCCTGTCCTCATGCCTAGAGAAGTGCTTCCCCATGCACTCTGCTCAAGAGTCCAATGTAGCCACTTTGCAAAAGGAAGGTATCCATTTCTTCTATTTAGCTCTGATCCAACTAGAATTAGTTCCGGCACATGACGTACCTGATCATTTTTCTCTAGCAGCCCTTTGCTCCACACGAGCCCTTGCATTTTCTGTAAGACTTGTCCTTCCTGCTGAGGCAGGTTCCCTATGCACACCGAGGGCTGAACCAGGACTCTTGTTCTGCCCGATGCCTGCGACACTGCCCTCACTGTAGCTTTAGAATGGCACACTGTCCAGCAGGTGATTAACCCTTGTCAAATTTCTTTTGCTATTTTGGACTATCTTCCCAACTTTTTACATTATTTTGAAAAAAAGAACACCATGTTGGGGTTTTGTTGACAACTGTCCATGAAATGAACTTGGGAAGGGCTGACATCTTGACCTCTTTCATTTTCCTTTCAGGGACACAGCAGGGATTCCCCTTCCTTCCTTCCATAAATATTTACTAAGCACTAGGCTCTATTCTAGGATATGGCAATGAAGGAAAGCAGACAAAAACCTTGCTGCCTGGGAGATCATATCCTACTGGGGAGGGAAAAGATGATACACAAAAATATTGAGTATTATCAGATATGTACCTAGGTTTTCCTTACGTCTGTGTACAACAGGGCTCATATTTCCTATGCATACTGCACATGCCCATTCCCTAACAGGTCCTCTGATGGGCTGAGTTTTAATCTCACTTCAGTAAGCAACCACTAGGTCACTGACACCAGCCTTTGGGAGGGGGCTGGGCCCTCTCTGCATGCAAGAAATGGTCCATTTATCCCTAGACCTCCTGATTCCAGATCCTTTCAAGGGAATAAAATTAAATACCAACCTTAGTGTTAAATGCAACCTATGATGTCTGTCCTGGAGCAGATCTTTGACAATGAATGTTCCGGAGCCCAGTAAATACATCTGAGGAAGAGTGGGTAGAGAAGGCATTAGTATGCTTGGTTTGCTTCTGGTCCAGATACCAGGCCCCAGAGGAGCCCAGCAGGCTGGTTCCCACAACACACCTGACCCTATCTCAGGGATGCTCAGGAAGAAACTCCTAAAGATGAATACATTTGGACATCAGTTACTCTGTGAGCAAAGCAGTGAAGTTAATCTGTGTTCACCTCTCACTCAGATGATTATAGAACTTAAGAACAGAGAACAAAATCCCAAGAACCACAACATGTTACTTAACTGTTCCCTGAGATCGATCTTTGACATCATACACGGAGAGTTTGATTTGGGTCATCTGATTGATAAGAGAGTCTTGAAAAAAGGCAATACTGCTTAGAAATATTGGATTGTTGGTTCCCTAGAAGAGGAAAGAGAATAAAATCAGAATACAGAGTTGGATTTTTCCAAGTAATTGTTTTGGAAACACACCAACATCTTCAGAACGGGACACTAACTTTCTTACCAACTTGGATCAACACACACACTGATGAGGGCTTACATGGAAGCCTACAAACATGACCAAATGCTGCTTAGAGAAAGGACAAAGTAGTGGGACAGGCTTCTCCAGAAGCACCCGCCACAGGCAGGCCCACAGCACAGCTGCATCCAAGGGCTCACTCTAAGGGCTTTTTGCTCACTAGAAGGGATCTTCTAAGAGTGAAACAACCCTGATGTTCGCGTGTATTCTCGGTATTACCACTTTAGATGAGTGGTGTGTTTGATCTCCTACTTTGAGTTGTTCCTTTAGGATGTACAAAGGCAGATGAGAGAAGGAATGAATGGCGTAAGTCGTTTCTTATTTCCAGAATCCCATAGTTGTAATAATTAAGAATGGACCTTTTTAAGGCTATCCTTTTCAAAAGATGAGCTGTGAGTTCCTAGCTCCTAGGTGGCCACTTCTTGGCAGCTTAGCCCTGTCCCCAGAGCCCTGTAACATATTCTCTTTCTCAGGCAGTGGTTAACTATCTGAGCCAAATGCTTAATAGCTCCTGTCTGTGCCTGCTGTGGGTCCCATGCCTCCAGCTGTGCTCCCTCTGCAGCTCCAGATCCAGGTTCTCAAGGGCTGCTGGACGGCCACTTCTGCGCAGCCTGCTGGGACCATGACCCGCCCAACCTCACCCTTCATCTGCCCTTGGTTAAGGCCATCTCTGGCTCTCTTCCCAAGGAGGCAACAAATGTTGCTTTGGTACCACTTTCTCCATCATTCTCTACCACCTAGGGACAGTGAACTGCTCCCACAAATCCACCCCCAGGGCCTGTCACATGCATTCCTACTCTCCACTCATCCCACTGCCAGTAAGGTCCTACACACTCCCCCAGATGACTGACAACTTAGGACCTCCCTGAAACACATCTAGTCCAGCAACTCCCCTCTGAAAAGCCTGCTCTGGCCTGCTACAAACTCCTCGCCTGATATTCAACACTTCTCTCCCTTGCTCCTTCACTTGGGCCTTCTGCACACACAAAACAGGAGAAGGTTATTCTCCAAACCCACGAGATGCTTTCCTATTGCATGTTTTGCATGACTACCCACAGAATTCTGATGTGCTTTTCAACACGTGGTCCCCAGACTGGCTGCACAGGCATCACCTGGGAGCTTGTGACAACTGCAGAGTCCTGGGCCCCTTCCCACCCAGATCTCTGAAGTCAGGATTACACTAAGCGCCACCGAGGCAGCCTCTCCAATCCACAGAGCTGGACAGGCCGCCACCCCCCAGGTGCCGCCCTCCTCTCGCTACTCTACCGCTTCCCACAGGGCCTTGTACAGATGGGCCACGCCTACTCTGCCTCCCCACCAACAGGATGGGATGCTTCCCGAGGCAGGGACCTGGCCTCCGAGGTATCTGTATCAACCAAGGGCCCAGGACTATGCTCCATGCACAGGCAGGGCTCAGCAGATGCTCAGAAAACAAAACTGTTGATTCGAACTTGGAAATAAGTTTCCAAGAGAATGAAAAAGGGTGGTCTATGTTCCAAAATGTAAAAGGGGGAAGGGGAGGAAATGCAGTTTAAGTTTGTTTGAGACTGCGAGGGAGGGGTTAATTCATACAGACACATCACAGACAAAATCCTGCAGGATCACACACAGATCCTATAGTTTTATAACTTACATACGGTGCTCAATTATCTAAAAAGAGTTGGTAAAATTCCTGAGGCGAATGCACATAATTCAATGTAAAACATAAATATAAAACACACAATGTAAAAGGATGTACAAAGAAAGCCAATAAAAATAGGGGTAAGTCCAGTAAGAAGGCCGGTTAATAGTTAACACTCTCCAAACTGCGATTAATGAACACAATTCTCCAAAAGCAGCAGCCAAATGAAAATGACAAAGAAGGATGAGCTCCTTACCTCTTAAAAGGCAATAACCTTATAGGATCATTGTTCAAAGACAACCAGCCAATAGCTCATCAGTAACTGTAAAGGACATGGCAAATATAAACGCCACCCAAATGAATGTGAAGAGAAACCTCAATGCACTGAGAACCCGCAGAGGGGCAGCTCCAGGCGCTCAGGTCACCCACAGCCCTCCCACGGAGCATGCAGACGCTGCGCCAGCCCGTCGCGTCAGAGCCGGCAGCACCCACCTCAATGATCTCCGTCTGTGCGTGTTTCGTCCAGAATGCCTGAGGAGGGGTGGTGACACTCACAGCTACAAAACTATTTGGTTTTCGATCTAGCGATGGAGTGTGCAACTCACTGCAAGCTACGGAATCAAGACGGGAAAGAAATGAATCCTTTAAAATCAGGCTCTGGGGGGCGACTGGGTGGCTCAGTGGGTTAAGCCTCTGCCTTTGGCTCAGGTCATGATCCCAGCGTCTTGGGATCCAGCCCCATACCGGGCTCCCTGCTCGGCGGGAAGCCTGTTTCTCCCTCTCCCACTCCCCCTGCTTGTATTCCCTCTTGCTATGTCTCTCTCTGTCAAATAAATAAATAAAATCTTTAAAAAAAAAAATCAGGCTCTAGTTAGTTCTCGGTTCCAAACACACCCAGAGAAAGAAAAAAAAAAAATCAGTGACACTAAAGGGATAGGACCGTTACACTGTCAGTTGTCACATGGAGGTGATCTTTTACACTGGAAACAAGCTCTTCTCATGCTCCCCTTCCCCCTCAACCCCCACGCCCATGACAGCAAGGCCCTCATCATTCCCAATTTTTTTAAAATGCTCACTGGTGACTTAAAATATAGAAACTGATTTTTGCTTCTGAAAAATAATTTTAGTTCTCTATCCATTTGTATTATCTTCTCCTGTGCCTTTATGAATTTTCACTGTTTACTGGATATAATATAATACCAAGAGCTTTGGTTTTCAATTCAATTAGTTTTGACAATCACATGCACCTATACAACCATCACCAAAACAAGACGGAGAACTTCTCCAAAACATCAGACTAGAAAATTCCCCCTCATACTTCCCAGTCAATTCCCCAGCCTCTGCAACCAATTTCTGATTTCCATCGCATCATCTCTTCCTGAAGGTGAGATTCATCTACATTGTTGTACGTACTGATAATCACTCTCATTTTTTTCAAAAATTGATGAGCTAGATTCCATTGTATGAATGTATCAAAATTTACCAATTCTGTTACTGGACGTTGGGTTGTTTCTGGTGGTGAACCACTGTAAATAAGGGTGCTAAAAATATTCCTGTTTATGTCTTTTGGTGGACATGGGCTTTTATTTCTTTTGTATAGGATAGCTACCTAACAGTGACATTTCTAGGTTATAGTAGATGGTATGTTTAACTTTGCAAGACACAAGTTTTGCTAAAGCAGTTGCACCATTTTACAATCCCATCAGCAATGGATAGGAGTTCACAGTGTTCTGCCTCACTATGAACATCTGGTAGGATTAGTCTTTATTTTATAGTTTTCTGATGGATGTGTCTCAATTTGCACTTCCATGACGAGTAATCATGCAAAGCATTTTTCACCACGTATTTGTTCCTTTTTATAACTTGTTTTGCCAAAAGTCTGCTGGAGTTTTTTGCTCATTTTTAAACTGAATAGTTGACTTTTTTATTGTTAATTTATGAGTATTTTATTCTGGACCTGTTCTTTCTCAGGTATATGTGTTATGAATATTTTTCCCCAGTATGTGGTTTATCAATTTATTTTCTTACGGATTTTTAGGTTTGTTTGTTAGACTTTTAGTCTTGGAGAGTGATAGACAGGAAAACTGTTCCTCCATCCAAAAAAAGTACCCAGATCCTAATCCCTGGAACTTGTGACTATATTCCGTTACAAGCACTATGGATGTGATTAAAGTCATGGAACCTCGACCTGAGGGGATTTTTCTGCATTATTGGTGTGGGCTTAACCTAGTCACACAAGCTCTTAAAAGCAGCAGAGGAAGGTGACTTTTGCTATTTTGGACTTGTTTTTATTTGAAGGGTGAGTCAGAAAGATGTGACTATGGGGAAAAAAGGCAGGAGAGATGCAAACCATGAAAGGCATTCCGCCTGCTGGCTTTGGAGATGGAGGAAGAGGGCCACAAACCAAGGAATGTGAGCAGCTTTAAAAATGAAAACCAGCCTCACCTGGCTGCTAGCAAAGACATGGGGACCTCATCTAAAACCACATGTACACACATATAAAAACGCTGAATTCTGCCAGCAATATGAAGAGCAAAGAAACAAATTTTCCCCTGGCACCCCCAGAAAAGAATGCATCTTGCTGATAGTTTGGTTTTGGTGTTGTAAGACTCCAAGCAGAAACCTCACTCAGCCCATTGGATTTTTGACCTAAGCAATCTGTAAGATAATAAGTTTGTGTTGTTTCAAGGTGTTCAATCTGTGGCAACCTATTACGGCCCTGAGAGCAAACGAAAGCAGAGAGCTAGTACTTGCCTGCACTCTGTCCGAGAAGTCTTTGCCTACCCTGAGGTTGGGAGTGATGCTTTGTTTTCTCCTAGAAGCTTCAATGCTTTGTTCATTTTCTTTTTTTAAAGATTTTTTTCAAATTTATTTATTTTACAGCCAGAGATCACAAATAGGCAGAGAGACAGGCAGAGAGAAAGGGTGGGGGGAAGCAGGCTCCCCGCGGAGCAGAGAGCCCGATGCGGGGCTCGATTCCAGGACCCCGAGATCATGACCCAAGCCGAAGGCAGAGGCTTTAACCCACTGAGCCACCCAGGCGCCCTGTTCATTTTTAAGGTTCTCTTCTATTTCCTTTGCTCGGTCTGCCTCAGCAGGAGTCAGGGACTTGCCCATTTCACTTGCTTGCCCTCCTCTGAGCTATGTGTTTGACTGAGGGCCTGGTTTTTCTCAGCTCGCCTCTTCATCACGTGTGGGTTCTTAACACCCACACCTAGCTGGAACATTTGGGACTTTCAAGAACAAGCAACAGCAGATAGACTGAGGCATAACAGGTAGCCAAAGCCAGGAAGACTGGTATCAGATTAAGGGCCAAGTGCCACCTTCAGAACACACCCTCCTGTAGGTAACTGCTCTCTATCCCCAACCCGCAGCCAGCTCAGCTAAGTCTCACTCAGTGTTCATTCCTAGCCCAAGGGCCACAGCTTCCAAGACGCTCTCCCTCAGCAGCCCACAGTCTCATCTCCTGTCTGGCGCTTACATCACTTTGGCATACTTCCAGAGAAGCCACAGTCTCTGGTATGTGTGCCTTGTCTGTCCAACCCGATCATCTGTAATCCCAGCTGGGTAAGTGCTGCCAATGAGGCAAACTGGTAAAATGTATTTCAAGTACATATCCTTTGACTCAGCAATTCTGTATCCAAGCATTTATCCCAAAGACATAATCAACAAAATGTGTAAAAGATCTATGTACAAGTATGTTCACTGTGGTGGTATTTATAATGGCAAACTGGAAAGAACCTATAATGTCTGACAATGGGAAACTGGTTACAATAAGTATGGTGGAGTCTACACGGGCATCTAAAGTAATGGGGCAGATCCCATGATCATTACAATGGAAAGATGCCAATGACATTTTGCCACATGAAAAAAAAAAAAAAACATGTTAGAATACTAGCATGAGGGGCGCCTGGGAGGCTCAGTGGGTTAAGCCTCTGCCTTTGGCTCAGGTCATGATCTCAGGGTCCTGGGATCGAACCCCACTTGGACTCTCTGCTCAGCGGGGAGCCTGCTCCCCACCCCCACCCGCCTCTCTGCCTACTTGTGGTTTCTCTCTCTCTCTCTGTCAAATAAATTAAATCTTAAAAAAAAAAAGAATACTAGAATGACATTTTTATAGATAATCCCATCACCTCCACAGGCAAAAAAAATTACTAAAAATTCTATATAGCTCTGTGTGGGTGTAAAAAATATTTCTGGAAGGATCTATACCAAAATGCCAACTGTGATTCTCTCTCTCCCTCTCTCTGATAGGGTATTCTTTTCCTCTAACATTTTCTCTATTACAGGCTTTTTTTTTTTTAAGATTTTATTTATTTATTTGACAGACAGGGATCACAAGTAGGCAGAGAGGCAGGCAGAGAGAGAGAGAAGCAGGCTCCCCGCTGAGCAGAGAGCCCGATGCGGGGCTCGATCCCAGGACCCTGAGATCATGACCTGAGCTGAAGGCAGAGGCTTAACCCACTGAGCCACCCAGGTGCCCCATCTATTAGGCTTTTAAATGAGTACTTGTTAATTTTAAACTGAAGATAAAATATTTGACTATTCAATCATGGGCCCCTGCTCCTCCTTTTTTTTTTTTTTCATTGTGGTAAAAAATCACTTAAAATAAAACTCAATCTCACCTTTCCAAGCTACCTTCTTCATTCAAATGGCTATCGAACTGTCCTTGATTTGCCAGAATTGAAATATCCTGATTTCTGTCATGGGGTGAAGATTTTTACCTATGTTACATCAACTCTCATCTTGCCTCTATACTCAATCAGTTTGGCGTGAATTTTTTTTGTTAAATCCGTGTTCTGCATTAGTAAAGCTAAGTGAGTATTATTATGAGCTAGGTGGGATTCCCTTTACTTTTCTCCTATGCTGGGCCCTGTTTCTGGGGCCCCATCTTCCTTTTCCTCAACTTACTCCCTCTTTTGGGTAGAGCATATCCTCCACTCACTCCCAGAGAAAGGATGGGGGAGAAGTACATTTGAGAGTTTGCAAGGCTGAAATGTTTCTTTCTCCCCTCACATCTGACTGTCTGGTTGAGTAGAGAATCCCAGATTAGAAATATTTCTCACTTACATTAAAGGTGCTCCTCCCCATCTTCAAGTTCCCAGTGTCACTGAGAATCTCCTCCGTACTGGTTTGACCCCCATCCTTGGATATGACCTGTTTTCTTTCCTCCTCTCTGGAAGTTTTAGGATACTCATTTTATTTCCAGTACTCTGAAATTTCACCAGGATGTGCCTTGTTATGGGGCTTTTCAATCAGGATGCTGGGCCGTGGTAGGCATTTTTCACCTAGAAACATACTCCTCAGTTCTGACAGACTTCTTATTTCTTGGTAATTCCTTCCCTTTTCTATTTCCTCTTTTCTATTTCCTCCTGTAAAGGTTGGGCCTCTGAATTTGCTAATTTTCCATTTCAAATTTTTCTCCCATTTTCTATTTTGCTTTAAAATTTTTACTCTGGGGAATAATTCTTTGAATATCTCCCAACGTTTACTGACTTCTTATTTTTTTGAAGTCATATTTTAAGTTTCTAATATTGCCCTTGTTCTTCAATTTTTTTTTTTTTTTAGTGCCCTGTTCTTATGTTATGGGTACGCCATCTTCTCTTATAATTTTTTGACATTTTCTTCTACTTTCTTCAATGTTTTTGTTTCTTCCGAGTTCTGTTTTTCCCTGCTTCTTCCTTCCTGTGTGGGCCTTTCACAAAGGACTTTAATCTGCAAACATTCTTAGATTTTATTTTAAATCAACTTTGAGGATTTATATATAAAATGTGCCCATTTTCAGTAGAGAGCTCGATGAGTTTTGATAAGCGTTTACATCCATGTAACCACCATGGTCAAGGCGCAAAGGGTCCCCTGTGCTCTTTTCAGTCAGTCCTCACCAGCACTCCTGGACAACCACTGATGGGTCATCCTGAGCTCCACGTAAACAGACTCAGAAATATACATTGGAATATGGCTTTCACTCTGCACAATGCTTCTGAGGTTCATCCCCATATATATTAGTACCTCACTCCCTTTCCTTGCTGAGAAGTACTCCATTGTACGCACATACCGTTCTCCTGCTGATGGATGTGTGGGTTTTTCCAGTCTTGGCTGTTATGAATCAAGCTGTAATTGGTAGGCATATACCAATCTTTATATGCACAAAAGAATGCCCATTCATTTTTAAGGATGAGGTATCAGAAGGCTGAGTGTAAGGGTGGGCCGGAAGGACTCTACAACGGTGCCTGCATGGCTGGCTGGCCTACTTTCATCTGGGGTCCAGAAAGCCAGCATCTGACTCTTTGCGGGGAGTGGGAGTGGGTGGCTTACTTTCTCCAGAGTGAAGCCTCCTGCCTAGAAGAATAAGCCTGGCAGAATCAGGATAAGAGGAAGAAGGCTGGAGAGGGCAAGGTGGGGTGTTGTTATTCAGTAGACTTTTGGCCCTTCACCACGCTCTCCCGCATTCTCATGGGCCTCAACCCAGAGCCTCTGCCTCCCAAGTTTCTTTTTTTTTTTTTTTTAAAGATTTTATTTATTTATTTGACAGAGAGAGATCACAAGTAGGCAGAGAGGCAGGCAAAGAGAGAGGGGAAAGCGGGCTCCCCGCTGAGCAGAGAGCCCGATACAGGGCTCGATCCCAGGACCCTGGGATCATGACCGGAGCCGAAGGCAGAGGCTTTAACCCATTGAGCCACCTAGGCACCCCTGCCTCCCAAGTTTCTTACGAAAATAACCACCAGTCCCTGCAGGATTTAGAGAGGGTGGTGGGAACCTGAACCCCAAACTCTTCCTTTCACAAACTTTCCAATAAGCCTCTGCTTTAGCCTTTGAGCTCCCCAGTATCTTTGGGACAAATCCACCACCCTCACAGACAAGCAGGTATGACCACACTCCTCTCCATCTGCTCCTTCCTCTTCGTGGATTACATTTTGGGGGTTCCAAAAACGTCTCACTGCACAAAGTGTGTGTTTCTGCTTATTCTTCCTAGTGCCTGAGATGGTTTAAGACAAGAGGGTGGAAATAAGTTCACTCCTCTCTTGTGAAACTGTAAGTCCTTGGGTTAGTATTATAATTTGTGAAGAGCAAGGAAGCCCTCGATTGGGAGTGGGCAGCTGGGGGAATCCCAGCAGGGTTACAGGCTGCTTCCCCCAAATCCTGTTCCCAGTTCACAATGCAGGACTCCCTCCCACTGCAGAACTAGCCAGCAAGTGAGGATTAGGAAACCCTCTGAACTTGTTTAGGGGTATTCAGTCTGAAATGGGGATGTTTCCAAAGTTTAATCTTAATTTGATAATAATAATGCCCTTACATGTTTAAGGATTTGGTCATTAGTCAAAGTTGATTGTCTGATTTCGCTTTAACCACCATGATCTTGTTTGTCTCTCAAATGGTAACACCCCATCTAGCACACCAGGAAACTGGTCCAGCAAGGCCAAGTAGCAGGCTCAAGGCTGTGTGGTTGGTCTGTGGCACAATAGGGACTAGAATCCCAGTCACCTGACTCCTGAGGAGGAGCTTCTTTTACATCATACCACCTCCTAGACACCACTGCCAGGCCACGGCCAACGCTGACCACTGCCCAGGGGACAAGGGCAGGGGAGAGCAATGCAGGAAGGAGAGTGTCACACTCTGGAGGAGAACCATCTGTGGCTGACTCCACCATGCCAGACCTTCTGGGTAAACCACAGTAATGCCATCCATGCTTCCCTGACCCCAGAGCTAGCACATGCTACTACCGTTCTTTAGGACAACTTTAGGGCATTCAGGCCAATATTTAGGACATTCTGACACTGTCCAAGAGGGAAAGCACTAGGTGTCATTGCCTCCATTCCCAAAGTAGGGAACAAGAGCTAGGCAGCGAAGCCCAACTGCACGGGGCATTATGGCTAGGGCTGATGAGGCTGACCCTGAGCCAGTTTTCCCACCCCTCCAGCCTTCCCCTTGGAGGAGGGAGACTGTCCTTCAGCTCTCCGGTGCTCACCTCCTGCCCCTCCCCCACCACTACTAGCCTGGAGGGAACATAAGCTGAGGAGACCCAAGGCCTGTGGGCTCCAGGTTCCCTCCCACAGACAGGATATGCACACCTGCCACGTGACTTCATCTCAGAAACAGTTCAGCAGCAGCAAGTTCTCGGATACAAATTCACACCAGGGTCCGGTTTTTCTTTTTTTTTTACTCCTTTTATATAGACCTTTTTTAAAATTAACATATAATGTATTATTTGCCCCAGGAGTACAGGTCTGTGAATCACTAGACTTACACAATTCACAGCACTCACCAAAGCACATACCCTCCCCAGTGTCCATAACCCAGCCACCCTTCCCCACTTCCCGCCAGCAACCCTCAGTTTGTTTCCTGAGATTAAGAGTCTTAGGGTTTGTCTCCCTCCCCGGTCTCACCTTGTTTCATTTTGGTTTTTGTTTTTAAGCAACATACATTTTAAAACAAATGAACAAAAAATTCAAAAAGATACCTACCTAAGCTGAATTCTAAAATGGGCTCATCTGGATCTTGTATATTTCCTGAATAAAAAAGAAATGATGGGGAAAAAATCACCCTTAATAACCTTTTCCTTGCATTTAGGTCTTATTCAGAAGACCCAACATCCTACTTTTCCCCCTCTCAGAAACTATTACATGAGATAATTTCTTCATTTCCTAAACATTTTGCTTTTGAGATTCCTGTCTCAGACTCCAAGACCAAACCCCCCTCCCTTCCTCAACTCTGCACATCCTCAACAAGGAGGGCTTTGATCATGGCCTGGGCACTTGCCAGATGGGCGCTGTGGACATTCCCATATCACCTACTGGCAAATGAGCCCTGGGGGTACCCACCCAAGATGGAAAACTGCCAGCAGTCAGACTGCAATGAAAGCAGTTTCCAGGAAGAGGGCTGACCTCCCTTCCCTCCCCATTCTCTGAATCAACCAGAAGAATGACATAGCAGGGTGCCCTCCAGCCTGGGGCCATCCCTGGGGACTCATTCTGGCTGTCCGCAGGGGACTCCAGGAGGCAGGCGTGGCCCTCCCAGCACTGGTACAGCGTGGGACCTATGTGTGGTGACCTTGCCCCAGGAAGTTGGAGCAGGGCCCATGAGGCTCACCTGCCAGAGAGAGGCCCAACATGTCAGCTGCCACATCAATGGTGGAAGCCCGCTGCATCGCACGGGCCCTGGCGCCATGGCGAGGGCTGTGCTCTCTTGCTGTCATGATGTCATTGGTGATGACGTGCTTGCTGTTCCTGGGTCAGACCACGCCTGATTCCCCGGGAAGCGCTGTCAACAACCCCTAGTCCCCTAAGGTGGCAGTAGTCCTGAGAAGAGGCACAAACACTGGTAAGAAACACAGGGTTGGTGACTGAGAGACCGTGCTCTCGTGGACAAAGTATGTGCCTAACACGAGCAAGTGAGGAGCCAGGGCCGGAGAGTCCGGCGATCTAGGCCCCTTCTAGTGACCTCTTCCTCTACGCTGTCCAGCACTCACACACACCACCCACACATATACGCATGGGATCATGTAAGGAAATCACATTCTCTTCAACAAAGACATGCCACATTAAATGATGGTTTAGATATAATGATAAAGATGGCTCTTGAGATTTTCTTCGTTTTATGATGCTCTTCTGTTGACAAGTCTTATAGCATCTGTAAAATTAAATCAGTTCACCTCTGTCAGAAAGATAGGAGATGCATGAAGAGCTCTGCCAGCCACTGACTATGATGGCATGGTAGAACACTGGAAAGACAGAGGCACATGTGTCCAGCCTGCTCTCTTTCCTCCCAAAGCTACAGAAACCTCACATGTGTCTTGGGCATGGGCCTGCTTTCCTGGAACACATGTGCATGTGATCTATGCCTGACTTAGGTGGATGGTGCTGTGTGCTATGGTTATAGAAGTCTCTGGCAAGGTGCCACCAAGCGCTGAATCAGACAGAGGCCCTGGCATGGCACAGAACACACCTTGGGCTCTAAGAAGTGGGTTAAGCAGCAAAAAGTGACTTTCACGTGTTTCTAGCCCTCTGTGTGACAATTCCTGCTGTCTTTAAAAGGAACTGACCTTTAGGAGTGAAGATAATTAGACTGAACAATAAGGCTGGTTTCAAACACTCCTTTCAAAGTGTGTCAACACCTGTGCCCCCAAAAGGCCTGTGTTCCCTCTCTTGAGTTAATATTCACCCAGCAACTTACTGGACATGTTTGTTCTTGGACCAGTTGAGACACGTGGCATTTCTTCATAGAAGCACATCCAAATCCATCATCTAAAAATAGAAAATTATAAACTTAACAAGCTGGTCAAACACGAAGTTCTGGAGAACGTGTATTATAATGCTTATGTTATAACTTTAATGCCTAGAGATATGGGGAAGCAAAGAGCTACTCTAAGTTCCCTTGTGCTCCATACAACAATCCAACCCAACCTTTTGGCTCAAAAGCAAAGGTTTTGCTGAAGCCCAAAAGAATGAGAAACAGAGTGCACATTCCCATTCCCCTTGCCCCAACCAGGGATGATCCAGGGTAACAGAGACCAGCCCCAAAGCAGCTACTGTGTGGCTAGGATGTGGCTGAGGGAAAAATGAGAAGTTAAGAATCTGAGTCCCAGGCATCCTTGCTCACAAATGTCAGGCTCTGGAAGAAGCTGCTGGGCCCCTCTGAGGCTCTGCCCTCTAGTGTCAAAGATGAGGCTAGTTGTACACCCATCTCACAGGGCTGCAATGACAACCAAATGTGCAAAAATGGAAGAGGGCTTGCCCTGATGTGGCTGTCTGGCTTGTGGGTGTCTTCCTGCGAAGCAGAATACCCAGGTTCCGACTCCGTCCCGGGGGACTGTCAGAGCAGACTGGCGCATGAGCTAGCTGAAACTGCTGGAGTCTGGGGTATAGATGACAGGCAGAGAGTGTGCTCGGCCCAAAGGCAAACTCAGCTTCTCTGACAGGCTGAGCTCCTACCCCTCCCATTGGAGCACCTGGGGACCTTTAGCCTGGGCACCTCAGCAGAGAGGGCAGTGGCCCGGCGGAGGAGTACCAGTAAAAGTCTCCAAGGGGAAGATTCACCAGTTTGCTGACATCAATGAAAATGGCAAAGACAGGGGCGCCTGAGTGGCTCAGTGGGTTAAGCCTCTGCCTTCGGCTCGGGTCATGATCTCAGGGTCCTGGGATCGAGCCCCGCATCAGGCTCTCTGCTAGGCAGGGAGCCTGCTTCTGCCTCTCTCTCTCTTTCTCTCTGCCTGCCTCTCTGCCTACTTCTGATCTCTCTCTCTGTCAAATAAATAAAAAATGAATCTTTAAAAGAAAAAGGCAAAGACAGGGAAAGTACTAATACCTATAATTTATAGTAATGCTTGTCGAATTTACCAAAAAAAAAAACTCACTAAAAATGCAAGTGGCTAATGTATGAATTCAATAAAAGAAGAATACACGTGGTAAACATTTTGGAAAAGTAACCAAACTCATTCATAATAATTAAAGGAATGCTAAATAGTCCTATATTCACCTAAAGTAGTCTTCCAAGAGAGGTTTGCTTGTGATCCTCATGAGAATAAGCTTTACTGGCAGACCTAGGGGAAACTTCATGGGGTTCTCCTCTATTGCTGATACATCGGAACATGCATTTCAGAAATTTATTTATGAAATTATTCATTACATTATTTATAGAAATTTATGAACAAAAGCAAAATTCTTGCCCACAGGCCGAAGATGCCTATTGTAGCATTACTTATAATGACAAACCCTGGAATGAATCTACTGTCCGGCTACCTGTCAGTGCATTCTGGAACATCTATAAGGCACACTATCACATGGCTGTTTGAAGATCATGATAAAGTTAATAAACACATGACAGTTTCTTCAGCCTTGGTAGGGATCAGGAAACCACTAATCACAACCACAAGATAACCTCATCAGAATAGCTAAAAATGGGGGGGGGCACAATACCAAGTCTTGGTGAGGATGTGGGATAAACAGAACCCTGAGACACTGCTAGCGGAAGGTAAAATGGCACAGCCACTCTGGAAAACCGGATTCACCAAAGCTGAGGTACACCTCCACCACAACCCAGTGCACAGCTCAGAATGGAACTGCTAACAGAAATGCATGGTTATGTTTACAAAGGGACAAGGGACATGTAGAGCATAGCACTCATCACAGTCAAACACCGGCAACGATCCAGACGTCCGTCAACAAGAAACAAAAGAACACAGATGCTTTCAGAAATGACGTCAAGGGAGAAAGCCAGTCCCCAAGAGCTTATCTAGGCACTTCAATTTGTATAAAGTTCAAGCACGGAACAAATGAGTCCATGGTGCTCAAAGTCAGGACAGCAGTGTCTTTGAGGGGTGAGTACTGACTGGGGAGGGCATGTGGGGCATGAGGAGGCTTGTGGGCTCTGGTAATGCTCCATCTCCTGTTTTGGGTACTGGTTTCAAGAATGAACTTACTGTCTAAAAATTTTTTGAGCTGTACATGAATGATTTTTTATACTTCAATAAAAAGTTTAATTATTGTAATGACTACAACAAAGACAACAGCATGAAAAACTGTTTATGTCAGCTCTACCTCATGTTTTTAATGAAATATTCTGTGTCCTGGTCATAGTCATTTAAAAAGATGGGACACAGACTGGGGCGCCTGGGTGGCTCAGTCGGTTAAACGCTTGACTCCTGAGTTAGGCTCAGGTCATGATCTCAGGGTCATGAGATCGAACCCTATGTGGGGCTCCACACTCAGCAGGGAGTCTGCTTGACATTCCCTCGCTCTCCCTCTCTCTTTCAAATAAATAGATAAATCTTAAAAAAAAAAAAAAAAAAAAAAAAAGAAACCACAGAAGGAAAGAGCCAACAGGAGACCACATGAAGGAGAAGGCCATATTTGGGGGTGTGACCACGGGGAACTGGTCCCTTTTTTAGCTTCAGGTCACCCTCTTACGGGACTGAAATGATGACTGGAAGCTAAGGTCATCTCATACTGGCCAGAGGGAGAGGCCTGGGCCTGAATTAGCTCGAGGAAGGAGTGCTTCTTCCTTAAACTTCTTCGCAGTGTGTTTCCAGCATTGTCCTGCCTTGCTTGGTTGCCCTGCTCAGCCTGTAGTGAGGCTGTGGTCACTCCCCTGCACCTGGACCAGTGCAGACAGACCACCTGATAGAAGGCAACTGTAACCCGACTACCTGCCAGTCCAAGAGAGGCTCCCAAACGCCCTCACTCCTTCACCCCCCTCCCTCTTCCCCTTGCAAGGCCCCTGCATCTAGGAGGGTGGAGGGTAGGTATTATAGGCATTGTGGGATCCTGGGGATAGAAATGCTTAAAGGGGAACATTTACAGACTAACTTTACATTTGATAGAGTTCACAGACCATAAAAGCTTTTGGGTCAAGAGGACCTCAGAAGCCACTTCATGGTTATCTGGGGCATTTAATTAGGATCTGCAATTTAAATCATCAAGACCCAGAACGTGGATCTGATCTGTGCCGCTGAACTCAATTTTCCTTATTAGTCTCATTAACTTAAAGTAATTCACCAAGAATTCTTATATTCCCAAGGTCCCTGGTTTTCCTCCTGGCCCCATTTGAAGACCAGAGCTCATTAGGAAGAAAAACTGCACTTACATCAAACAGGACAGATAGTGTGTGGGAGTTATTCACGGAGCTGGAATTTATTTTCTTGGGGGCAAGAAAGAAAGAAAGAAGGAATAACTCATAAAACTAACTGCCTCTTCTCCTCACTCTGTGAGAGATGTGTAACGCTTTCTGACAAGAGGACATAGATCATCAATGCAATAGCAAACCCAGTCATGTTCCTTCCATCTCTGTGGGGCCAGGGGGATGAAGGTAGAGGAGCATAAGCAAGACAGGGGATGTGGTGGTTCACACAGATCCATGGGATTTGTGACGGGTGGCAGTGACTATCAGAAGCTTCTCAGGAAGCCAGTCTTAGAACAGGCCTGCCTGCCTCCTCTTCCACAGAACAAGGGCTCCCAGGCCTGGAAGGGGTCTGGAGGCCCCTTGGGCTCAGAAACCTCTTAGGGCTGCTGAGCTGGAGCTAGTGGAGAGGATGAGCCACACAATTTTCCATTTTCAATTGTCTTATACAATGGGGGTTCTTCAGAGAATAATCTTAAAATGGAGTTAATGGATGATGCCACAGAAGTCCAGACAAGGTGACTTTCTCAAGGTCACATTGGAGGTAAAGGATGAACTATCAGAATCGACCCAAAGCAAAAAGCCCAAATACAACTGGGGCGCTCTCGCTGCCCAGCCCACCCTACCACTGCCACTGCGGACAGGAAACAAGCTCCCAGCAAACCTTCCCTGGACCTCTGCTCTCCAGGCAGCACAGGAGCGAAAGTCAGATGGAAGGCTTGAGTGAGTCAGAGCATGAATCAGCAGCCCCTGAGGAGGAGGCTACTACAGGAGTCAGAAAGAGGAAGAGTTTTCTCTCAAAAACCCCAGTCCAGGATAGCCACAATCACTGATCCATGAGGCGTCACACTGCTCACTGGCAAATCACTACTAATAATAACCTCAGAGAGATAGCTGCTGCCTTCTCCACGAAGCCCCTCCTGCAGACACTGCCCAGCAGCCAATGGCTGTGCCTCAGTCTCCCTAACACGACAAGCCAGTCTGTACCTCAAGATAATGCACTTCCTGGTATGACCATGGGATGAGGAGTGGGGCACCTTGTGTCTTACGAATGTCAGACTTAAGCTTCTTACTTCTTCCATTTCCTCCTGGGTGCCTCATTCAAGTCTACATATAGACCAGGGGTCTAGCAAAGACCCACTGAGTAAACAAACTGTCAGCTTCTGTGGCAGACTGGCCTTGCTCACCAGAGTCTGGCTTTCTCCTTCATCCCAGGTACACTGACAGGTCACCCTCTCCAGCCCCCTTCTAGTCTGGTACAGCTGTGTGACAGCACAGAGGGATGCACGCAGGCTGAAATAAAGGTGAGAAAGCAGCTCATGGGACCCTCCAAGTCTCCCTTCCCCCAGATTCCTGGCTGGATGTAAGGGACTGAGTGAATAATTCTGAGGCCTAGGGTAAGTGAGTGACTCCAAGGACAAAAACTAGGTCCCTATGGCTGGGTAGAACAGAGGCCCTGCTCCCCATCCCTTCCCCACAGACAACCTACACTGAGCTTAACTTGCGTAAGAAATCACCTGTGCTGTGTGAGGCCACTGAGATTCGGGAAGTGCTTGTTCTAGCCGCTAACATTAGTTACCTTGACTAAAGTCTGGCACATTCCAGGCACCCAGTAAATGGTCATGGCGAA